GAACTTCCATTTTTTAAATATTCATAAATAGTCTATCTATCGACGTTACGCCGAGGGTGAATTTTTGAAACTTAAATTTAAAACACGATTAAATTTGACAGAGACGCTACATTATAATTATATGCAATCGGGTCTTGTTCGTGCATTTTTACTCCTTTATCAAAAATGTCACACCAATTGCGATCACCAAAGGATAGTATTCCTTACCAAAAACCTGGCGTTTATAAAATTGACTGCAGCTGCGGTAGTTCATATATCGGACAAACGAAGCGGACTATCGCCGAACGTGTAAGAGAACACATAGCAGCGGTCAAAAATCGTCAAGTGGAGAAGTCCGCGATTGCAGAGCACTTATTATCATCTGGATCAAACCACTGGATCGAGTTACATACACCTCATGTCCTTTCCACTGAACGACATTACTATCCAAGGATTGTTCGTGAAGCGGTTGAAATCAAAAAACACAACAATTTCAACCGGGAAAGTGGATATAAACTCTCTCCAACGTGGAATCCGGTTATAAAAATGTATAAGTGTCGCGATCGCAAACAACCACGAACAATATTCTCGGATACCGTAAGTGCAGTGTGTCGCCACCTTTACGTATTGTTGGTGACCCGCTACGCAAACCTTTTTGGCATGTTTATTTTCTAAATTCTCAGTTTTTAAATAAATGTCATTCATACTTTTAGACTTACGAAACAAATGTAAAACTTCAGTGTGAGAATAACAATATACGGCTGTGACGGTGTTTTCGTGGTTTCCTTTAAAATTACCTGGTAGCCAGATCTCTATCTTTTTCATTGGTGTCAGAAGTGGGATAAATTAATAACGATCATGCCCATGGTTACCAGGTCTCGTGTTTGCCAAAACCAGGAAACCCGTAAGTCTACCTCCTATAGTACAGTGCGTGAAGTGTCTAACGAAGCCGCCTCTAATCGTGGTAGCGCCTCTATTTCCGGCGCCCTAGCGCCAGCGTTACCCAGCGTGCTCCACACCGCGCCACAAGATGACTTACTTACCACTGCATCACAATGCGCCCCAGCACCGCCGCCAACCAATTCTCCTCGATCGTGTACGAAATCTACAGCAAAATCTATAAAAGCACAACAGCAGGCTGCCAAATTGAAACATGCTCGACGACAAGCCGCAATAGAAAAGGAATTGGCAGACTTGGAACTGGAAGCCGAGCTTGCTGCCATTACCTCTTCTACTTCGAGCCATTCACGTTCGGATTATGTGGAACAATGGTTAGTCGCATCGCATGACAATCCCGTAGATAGAGCTTATAATAACCGTTCTATTATTTTCGATAGAGAGAAATGTGTCGATTCACTATGTAGCGCTCCACTAGAACAACCCCCAGCGTCACGTTTAGCAGAGGATAGAGATGCCCTAGTATCTGCAGCACGAGGCTGTACTATACCACGCCTGTCCCCGCTTACCTACAACGATGGCCCTCGGGTACGAGCCGCCGACACATTCACAACTACACATGCTCAAAATATAGGTACACACAACAGTAGTAATGATTGTAATTTGTACATAAATAAAATTAACAATAAAACTGTAGGTACACATGACAACATTACTTTACTGGCGAACGCTATACTGGATCTAGGAAGGAAGCCGAAGGTCAGTGATCTCCCTAGGTTTGATGGTCGTGCTTCCGATAAATTGTCGAGACCACAAACATCAGTCACTGGAAGTATACCCCGACGGCTCTAAATGTGGCAGACGACGCTACACGGTATAATCGGGCATTTACTTTCTCGTCACGGTGGTTTACCGGGCCATCATTTCTATTGTCTTCTCAGGAAAACTGGCCATGTGAACCTATGTGCAGTGTCCCACCGATACTTGAAGAATTGAAACGTACTTCAGAATCGGTGGGACTCCTAATTTCAGGAGTACCGCGTGAGCTACCTTTATCGGTGGTTGCGGGCCACCAACGGTTCAGTCGGTGGATTCGTTTACTCCGAGCTTCAGCGCGCGTATTTCAATGTTGTAGAGTTTTTAAATCTTTTATTAATTCTACTCTTAAATTTTCTACAAATGCCCCTCGCGATCGGTTTAATTTTCCGTTGCTTTCGATTGCAGACCTCAACGTTGCAGAGGTCCATTTATTCCGCGTCGTTCAGGCAGATTCTTTTTCTGATGAATTAATGCTCGTTCAAGCAGCACGCCCTGTTTCAAACGAAAGTAGGCTAAAGAATATCGCGCTACTTATTGGAGAAGATCGACTCCTTCGGCTATCTGGGCGCACGGCTGTTTCTACGGAAATAGAATGTAGTCCAGTTGTGCTCGACGGCAAACATCCAATAGTGAGACTGTTGATTGGCTTTTATCATGAGAGATATGCACACGGCAACAACGAACTGGTGGTTAATGAGCTGCGTCAAAAGTACTTTATCCTCCATTTGAGACCATCAGTTCGTGCAGTATCACAAAAATGCCTAGTTTGTCGGATTCGAAAGGCGAAACCTATAACTCCTCCCTTAGGTGATCTTCCAGACGTGAGATTGGCACATAACCAGCGACCGTTCACATTTGTGGGCCTGGACTACTTCGGACCTTTGAACGTTTCTATAGGTCGAAGAACGGCGAAGAGGTGGATCGCTCTTTTTACTTGTTTGACCGTTCGCGCTGTACATCTTGAGGTCGTGGAGAACCTTTCGGCAGACTCTGCAATCATGACTCTCCGGCGCTTCATAGCGAGAAGAGGTTGTCCAGCTCGCATATATTCGGACAACGGGACTTCGTTCGTCGGTGCAGCGAGATTGTTACCTGACCTCTACGACTTCTGCAGCAACCATAAAATAGATTGGCGGTTTATTCCCCCATCAGCGCCGTTTATGGGTGGATGCTGGGAACGCTTAATACGATCTGTGAAAAACTCCATTATGGTCACCTTAAAAGAACGTTCACCTCGGGAGGAGGTTCTACACACATTGATCCTAGAAGCGGAGTGTATTGTTAACTTTTAGGAACCGTATGATTGAATATGTGGGTCCCTACTGTGGTGATGGAGACAACTGGCCAGGGAGACTAAAGGATAATTATCTCCCTCCGAGCTAGGTGTTGTTAGCCCGGGGACCGCGGTCCAACCGATGTAGGTTGGACGTCCTATTTATGTTAATTGGTAATTAAACTTATTCTGTGTGATGTAGGTTTCTTTGTTCTAAATGTCTTGTAGTTATTAATTTATGCTGTTTGTATTGGTACAGCGCCATCTCGTTACTTGCTGTTGAAACTTATTGCAGTTTGTCTTGCTATCGATGGCTGTGACGATGCTAGTCTTCTCGCTATCGATTGTTGTGGCGATGTTAGTGCGATGAGTTAGATGTCGCTATATATCAGTCGCCACAGTACTTTCCCCCTAGACCGAAGGTCGATCCATGTTGATAGTAGGTGGTATGCAGTCAGTGCTTCAGAGCTTGCAAGCGCCATGGTTGTGACGTCGGGACCGAAGCTGCTGGTGTGCAGGGGCTGCCACGCCGGTGAGTTGTGTGTGAACTGAGGTCCGGTCGTGGGCTGCGAGAACCAGGTCGGAGTGATGCCGTCGTGTGGTACCAAGAATCCAGGAAGCGCCGTTGATGCTGCTGTGATGGACCTTGGTGTTGGCTGGCTTGTTGCTGAAGTGGCTGTGCTGATGAGGGATGAGAGACTGATGATGAAGGGTGATGGCTGCGTTGTGATGCTGAAGGTTGCTGATGCTGAAGGTTGCTGATGCTGAAGGTTGCTGATGTTGAAGGTTGCTGATGTTCTGCTGGGGTCACCACTTTAGGAACCGTATGATTGAATATGTGGGTCCCTACTGTGGTGATGGAGACAACTGGCCAGGGAGACTAAAGGATAATTGTCTCCCTCCGAGCTAGGTGTTGTTAGCCCGGGGACCGCGGTCCAACCGATGTAGGTTGGACGTCCTATTTATGTTAATTGGTAATTAAACTTATTCTGTGTGATGTAGGTTTCTTTGTTCTAAATGTCTTGTAGTTATCAATTTATGCTGTTTGTATTGGTACAGCGCCATCTCGTTACTTGCTGTTGAAACTTATTGCAGTTTGTCTTGCTATCGATGGCTGTGACGATGCTAGTCTTCTCGTTATCGATTGTTGTGGCGATGTTAGTGCGATGAGTTAGATGTCGCTATATATCAGTCGCCACAAACTCAAGACCCCTTACACATGTGCCTGTTGATCAGGATTCGGACGTCGCTATAACACCTTTTACATTTTTGATCGGAAGTTCCAGTAGCGACTTACCTCTAAGACAATTTGAAGATTGTGATCTTTATAGGCGAGTGAACTGGAGGAAGGCTCAGCGTTTCGCCGATCAAATGTGGCAGCGCTTCATAAAAGAATATTTGCCTACCCTGGTACCACGAAGGTCTACATCCCAATCAGCAGTCAACCTCCAAGTCGGCGACCTCGTATTTATAGCAGACGGCACACTACCAAGATGCAGCTGGCCTAGAGGGAAAATAATAGCCACGTATCCCGGCAAAGATGGAGTAGTTCGCGTGGCCGATGTTGCCACAAAAGGGGGTGTGCTGCGCCGCCCAACGCGGAAGTTAGCGTTGCTGGTCACCGGCTACATTAAATAGGTGCTTCTCACCGTCGGGGGCCATGTTGGTGACCCGCTACGCAAACCTTTTTGGCATGTTTATTTTCTAAATTCTCAGTTTTTAAATAAATGTCATTCATACTTTTAGACTTACGAAACAAATGTAAAACTTCAGTGTGAGAATAACAATATACGGCTGTGACGGTGTTTTCGTGGTTTCCTTTAAAATTACCTGGTAGCCAGATCTCTATCTTTTTCACGTATAATAAAATCAAGTGGAGGGTACATCTGAAAATCAGTTAAAAACATTATTACCGGATTACCCTCAACTAAAATCAGAAGACGACACCCGCCAGTTCTCCAGTCTCCTCGTGACCACGGCTGCTGTAACGTAGCCGAAACGTCGAGGTAAATTAATTGTTTTAAAAAATGCACGAACAAGACCCGATTGCATATAATTATAATGTATACAAATCGTGTGAGTTTAAAAATATTATTAGAGACGCTACACTTATAAATACAAATGTGTTTTGATCCACTATGATATGAGGAGGTATTTTAAAAGAAAACATTAGTTCCCAAAATCAAACTAGATGTCGCTACGGTACGTTCTTGATTTCTCCATGACAACCTTTCCGGTTTTCTTTCAAGTTTATAAGTAAATTAAATGATATAAGTTTCCAACTTTGCAAATTTTTTAATATATTAGTTAAAAGAAACGGAAAAGACTGTCTTTGGTCCAATCATTTCCTGCAAAAATCAACTTTTGCTAGAGTCGCCATCTAGTGGAGGTACTTTTTTAGTGCCTTCGTGTTTTTAAATAATTTATTTAAAAAAATAAATAATCGGCAGCACTCTATTAATACAGGTATATTTAACTAATTGTAAATAATTTTATGGTTTATACCAAAACAGAAAGAATCGAAAGTCGATTTTTAAGGGTGAAATATCAATGAACTTGAACGATTTAATACTATATATCGATTAAAAATCGATCACAGATCGGCATCCTTATTTTCTTTATGGATTGTTTTGTTCGTTTTGTTTGCATGAAACTATGGCATGAAATCGAAATCTGTGATAGAAATTTCCTGTCTTCGGAGGTTGTTAATATATTCGATTGGTTTGCCAAAGTGATATTGCTAGTGGTAGTGAATTGAAAATAATAATAAAAAATGAACAACGTGCACTGTGCGATTACGAGTTGCAAAATTTCTACATACAATAAACCACCATCCGTAAATTTTCATTCGTAAGTAATACCATCAACATTACAAAAACAATTTAAAAAGTCCTTTAAAACCGTTTAAAATTAGTTTTATTTATAATAGATTATTTTATAAAAAAATATGTATTACATTTTTAGTAAATACCAACCTTGGAACCGTAAATTCTATAAAAAGTCTTGTGTTACAGATGCCCTACCTCAAGTGACATGAGAAATAAATGGTTGTTGATGCTTAAAAATAAATGTGCTATGCTAGACTGGACGAAAAGTAAGATTTGCTCTAGACATTTTGAAAAAAAATATTTTGACGCTCAAAGGAAATTAAAAGAAAATGCTGTACCCACAATATTTGCACCTACAATGGAAAAATCCTTTCAGGTAAGATTAAAAGTTTCATTTTCTATAAACTGGGATACATAGGCACCCTAAAGTTCTTCAATTTAGTTTTGTGCTTGACCACTGTATTAATTTTGTAACTAAATTAATTTTGCAACAATAGTTATATTTTTTAGTGCATCAAAATTAATCATTCGGTTATCTGTTCATTTTTATTTAGGTAACATTGTTTTGATTTACAGAATGACACAACAGCAAAAACAAGAATAGAAAAATTGCTCTGCAAACAATCACAAGCCCAGCTGATTATTGATGTAAAAAGTAATTTGAACAAGTTGAAGGAACCTACAAACTTAGATAGTTTTATTACTGATGACTTAAAATGGAAACCTGAAGCACCAACAGAAGCACAGTTGTGGTTAATGGTGAAAAAGCAAGATCGTATAATTTCATTGCTAAGTGAAGAACTTACACAGAATAAAAAACTTATAGAAACATTGCGGAAGACTGTGGAAACCTCTAAACTGTCTAAACAAGAAACAGAACAAAACCTTGAAACTATGAAATACATAGTAAAAAGCCTTCAAGAAAAGCATGCTACTTTGGAAGAACAGATTGAAATTCTAACTGCTGTAGAAGCAAGATAAATAATAAATGTTTAATACTACAAGAATAAATAACATTTTTTAAGGATAAATAAATGTGCATGTTTTCAAATATAAAATTCTTTATTTTTACTTAATTATTATTTATGTAAAATTTTTGTTCATTATTTCAAATAAATAAATGCATATGTCAGTCTTAAACACTAAAATATAGACAATGCTGTTCGTACAATGGATTTTTGTGAGTATATTACCAGGTTAAATCACCTGTGGTTTAAGTGTTTTTGTATTAAATCTCTCAGTTTAATTTTTTTATTAGTTTTATCAGACAATGGTCTTCCAAGTGGAATTATTTCCATTTGTTGTAAACGTCGTCTGAATTTTTGATAAAATTCTAACACGTGTGGGTCTGCCCAAACATGACGTGAATCAAAATCTAAAACTCTCAATGTGTCTAAACTTTGAGCCCTACTCAGGGCAACATACGCTTGACCGGCTTCAAATATTTTAGACAAAGACATCTCAACACAGTCCAAAGTCAAACCCTGTGACTTGTGTATTGAAAAGGCCCATGCTAAATTTAGTGGAACTTGTCGACGGCAGAGTAGTGTACCATTAGAATTTTTAACATACCATCTTTCTGTTCTTGCTGTATACTCTTTCTTATTTTTAAATCTTACCACAGGGAAACCCTCTTCAAACCTTATGACAACCCCTCTAGCACCATTCACTAGACCAGCATTCACATTAATATTTTTTAACAACATTACTTGAGCACCTATTTTCAAAACCAATTTTGAGGGTGCAATTGTCTGCATATCTAATAATTTAGTAGCATTGTCACTATCCTGAGAGGAATAAATTTTAGTATCACCATTTAAATCTTTAAGTTTTGTATCATTAATCATCTTGGAGTCATTTGTATGTGAACATAGTATTGTAGCTAAAATGCCATCACTTTCAATTTTTTGTCTGGCAGTATTGAGTAATCTGTCACTTATCTCTTTTGTCACTCGACCAATTCTAATATTATTAAGTATGGATATAAATTCCTGATCTTTTTGCCTGTGAACTTCTTTTAATTCAAAACAAAGTTCAATACACTTGTCCCAGCATGGAGATTGAAAACAAAACTTCTTTTCATTTCTTCCTTTGTCCACTACAGGTGGCAATTGTAAAAAGTCACCACAAAGTATAAGCTGGATACCTCCAAATGGTTTATCATTTTTTCTCACATATCTTGCCACTGCTTCCAATTTCTAAAAAGAATTAAGGAATCATAATGAATTTCATATTCTAATAATCAATACAGGTTGCATATTAAAAATAAATAATCCAAATTTCTTATACCTCAAAAAATATTCCGTCAACCATAGATATTTCATCAATAATCAAATGTTTGCATTTTCGCCATTTTTGAGCTACAAGAGGTAACTTCAACGCCTTTTCACAAAGGTTTTGTAAAGTGCCTCTTCCGTCTCCTATTCCCGCGAAAGCATGTAATGTAGTTCCACCTATAATTAAAATTATTACAATTTCATATGTTAAATAATAGAAGTACTTACATACATTCAGTCTTTTATATTTTTTATAATTAAATGATGCAAATGTAGCATAAAACTCACCAACATGACATGCAGCAACTCCAGTTGAAGCAGTAGCAACTGTTACCTCTGGTGGCAAAGCTGCTACAATTTTCTTCAATAAATAACTTTTACCAGTTCCTGCAGACCCAGTGAAAAAAATATTTTTACCACTAAGACAAGCTTCTAGTACTCTTTGTTGTTCTGTATTTAGTGAACTTGTGGCAGTCAATGGTGAGGGAGAATACAATTTTTTGGGCGCTGGGCCTCTACTTAAATCTTCAGCTTTTCGCTTTTTTGATGGTGGCGAAGGAGTTGTTATACTTGATTTAGAAATCTTAGTTTTAGCACTGTGCATATCAGCTAGTGTCACAGGACTTATTTCTTCAAATGCTTGAGTCTTTCCACTTAATAATTTGGTTCTCATTGTTTGTTTTGAATAACTACATGAAGCTTGCTCTTTATCACCAGTCATTTTAACAAATATAGTTCGTAAAAATGAAACTAAGTTTGTTGGGGGAGCATTCGAAATGAAGAGTGTGCATCCTGCCTCTTGAAATTTAATACTAGCTTTTCCTTCTGCCATGAATTTCTTAAATACATTAATGGCCTTTAATGCTAATCTGATTGCAGCATGTTTTTCACTCGATACTTCCATGTACATTTCACGGAACTCATTTCGTATGAGTCGAAGTGAAGCGGTTTTGTAATTAACCTTACGACTTATGGATCCTTGTGGGGTCACCCATTCCATATTCACAGCACATGATAGAAATGATTCTCCAGCTTCCATATTTAAGAATGAAGTATTTAATTCATAAATTCGCAGAAAAGTAAGAACAAACTACCGTTTTAAAGAACAAAACAAAAAAACGTCCGTCAAAAGAAGCACATGAATAGGGATGCAACAATGTGTCATAAAATCGATATTTATCGCTTCCCAAAATATCGATATATATATGAGGAAAAATCAATATCGATTTCGAATAACACCAATACCCGGTATTATCGAATAAACTTTACTATTCACTAAATAAGAGTAAGAGGTTTTGACGCTTCAAAAGGAAGATACAATAACATTGTATGTATCGACGTAATAGGAAAGAAATTATGAAGTAATTTGATTAAAAAGGTAACATATTTTTAAAGTAAAAATGTTTCTTAGTAGCACAAAACATTGACTATTATTTATTCATAATTGTTAAAATCGTAATCTAGGATTGTCATCCATTGTGAATGCTACTGCCTTTCTTGTTGTTTTGCCGTTTTTCGTGATTCAGTTGTTATTGTTTTTTTTTTGTTGTTAACTTTTGTTAAATATGGACGATGCCAGTGTAGGCCAGTGTGGGGGCTTAGAGCGTAATTTTTGTAAGCCACTCGCTTACAAAAATTACGCTCTAAGCCCCCATACCTACCCTCAACCTTTAACATTTCAGGAAGCTTTTCCAATGTCTTCATCAATACTCTAACTAATAACACTTATAATTAGAATTTATCAAAACAACAGACAGATAGTTTCAGGTTTAGTTCCATGTTGGCTTCGGAGTAAAAGATGAATTTATAAAATGCTGGCCTCATCTCAACCCCGAGGTATCGTAAAAAATGGAAAATTGCCCATCCCTTTCAGACTACCTAACGTTCAAAGTTTTAACAAAACTAATATATATATTTTTCTAATTATCTTAAAAATAAAATGTTCTGCACCGCTGCTTCGATGACCCTCTTTTTTCTAATGTTATAATGAATGGAGTATAAATATAAATAAAACGATGTTTTTGTTTATCATCGAACGAAAAAACTGTTTTAATTTCAACTTCAATGGTCGTTTTCTGCGCTATATCATGAGGTAAATTGTTATAATCTTTCAAATAAAACATGAAGAAAGTTTAACAATCGAGGAATGTGTTTTCACTTCTGGATAGAGTTAGTTCCAGGTGAAATTGCAAAACCTGCGTTGGTAACTAGTGTTGAAAATTCCCGAAAGTTTCGGATACATTGGAAGTTTTGATCAACAATCTTCCGAAATATTTCATATTTAAAATTAAGTTTTGGAAATTTATGAAGGTTCGTTGCCAAGGCGGTGTTTAGTCAATAGGAGTCTGACATAACCTCACGGCCGGCCGTGGGGTATCCAATGAAGGATTCACCGCAAAATTCACCGCCTCCTTCCTCCGTTGATGGGAAGGTGGTTCCGAACCCTTAAGGTTGAGAGCCGAAAAAAAAAATGACTGACATAGTGATCTATCAAAGCACAGTCTAAACTGGTAGATGTTATGACGTAGTAGTAGGATTTTGATCAATTCTACCCCCAAGGGGATAGTCTTCTTCCTCCTTGCATCCTCTGCACAGTAGAATGTGCAACAAGGGGATAGTCTTCTTCCTCCTTGCATCCTCTGCACAGTAGAATGTGCAGAGGATGCAAGGAGGAAGAAGAAAAACCTTTGCACATTTTGACCGATTGCCCGTCACTAATGCGAAAACGATGTATCTATCTGGGAAAGCACGTGATGCACTCAGACGATATTAAAGAACTTACGGCCAAGAAAATACTACAGTTCCTTGTAGAATGTAATCTTGACCGTGAACTGTAGTATGTGAAGATCACAATAGATCAGCAATGGTCGCAGTGATACTGGGCTGCATAAACCCAAGATAATCCGCAACTCGAAACAATACAATACAATACCCCCAAGGGGATAAAATAGGAATAACAGTTTGTATGAAACTTTGTCAATTTTAAGCCGATCAGGCTGAGACTCTGCATGCATAAAGCTACTATGACGTAGGCATCCTCTAAGAAAGGATTTTGATATATGCCATCACTAAGGGGATAAAATAAGCAACAAAATTGAGGTACTGTGGGTAAATACAACCGCGTCATACACTAACCATAGTTTTGTATTCCAAATACAAAAATAGCATCATTTACAAGGGAGCTGTCATTAGATTGTAAAATAAAGATCTGATATTTAATATTTGTTATCATAAAATAATGAGGAAGTATTTAAAAAAAGAAAGCACTATAAAGCATCTCCACTAGATGGCGACTCTAGCAAAAGTTGATTTTTGCAGGAAACGAATGGACCAAATATATTAATTTTCGTTCCTTTTAACTAACATACGAGGGTGGATTGAAAAATTCGCGGCCTAACATATAAATATTTAAACTATTTTAATGTAACTGACCTCATTCGATTTGTTTACTCTCTGGTTGTCAAATTGTAAAATTCTATCGTAATACCATTAACTGTATTTAAATTAGACTGGATTTTGTGAGCCTTTCGTATTAAGAAAATGAAATTTGCAAAGTTGTAAACTTAGATATCAATACAAATACGAAAAAGTACAAATAGAGTATTGAGTTTTGAAAGCTAATTAACTTTTCTTCTTCTTCTTTTATTAATGGCTTATCTGCGCATTTCGCACAATTCTGCCAATGTCAAGTGAATAAATAAATTTCTACATGTAAAATGAATATGAAATGAATGAAAGATGGCGATGAATATTTATTGTTGAATTATCGATGAATACATGAACGAAAACCGAAAGGGTCATCATGGAGAAAACAAGAAAGTTCCGTAGCGACATCTAGTTTGACTTCGGGAACTAATGTTTTTTTTTAAGTAGTATGCTGTGAGGATTTCCCGTAACGTAAGTAAGATTGCTACTTCGGGCAAATGCTGCCAGCATCACATCGGGTTGGTTAATTTCCTAGGTGATATTTAATACTCAAACTAACACTAAATACCAACCGATATACATCTGTTGATATTTATCAGCGTACCCTAGTAAGTATTTTCAAAATTACGAGCTAAGATTTAATGAAAGTTAAGATCGAACTGGATAAATTGAGATTGCTTTCAGGAGTAAGCCTGCTGGTCAGGCTATGAACTGAATTATTCAATATCCCTATAAACAAAGTTGTTGGATTCTAAGGCAAAGGGGTCTTAGCCAATATAGCGTATTCCCCCCATTATTCGTTTTATTAAAAAAAAAGTTACTGTTTTTAACGTTTTATTGTTTTTGAGATACATTTGCATATAGCTTTTACTTCTATCATCATACCCTTTTACGTCCCCACTGCAGGGGCTCAAGCTTTGCTTATCGATGGTTCCGGCAGATCATAACCCACGCTGGCTAAATGCGGATTATAAATAAGTACAGCTGATATCTGATATTCAATATTTAATTCTTAGAATAATAACAGTCAATAATACATTTTCAATGTTGAGATAATTACAAAATATAGTATATAGAATTTATACAGTTAGAAATTTAATCTGTTACACTTATAGCAACTGGAGGTATGAATCTCCATATATGGCTGACTTCACCTGCACATGGTTGTATTGAAGATTGTTGATCCGTATCCCTTAAGACAGAAGTATCTTCCAGCACTGGTTCGGTTGTTGAACACTGTATGTCAATTTTGTATTCTCCAGGAGTGAGGAAAACGACTGTACATTCGTGATACGCTTTAGCGGACTCCGGTAATGATGGCAATACGACCCTGGGAAAGAAATATAATAAAATGTAAAAAGTATGCATTTTGCCTCACGAAAAATCTAGATAGATAGATAGAATATTCTTTATTGTACACACAAAATACATTTATATGACGAAAACAGGATACGTACAATTGGCGGCCTTATCACTAAAAGTGATCTCTTCCAGGCAACCTTGGGATGGAGTTAAATATAAAAGACCTAATGATGGGGTAGTGGATGGTGTACAAATAAACAATTTATAAATATACATAATTGACAATTGTTATATAATTAATTATAATTTACCTACATATACTATAATATAATAAATATCATATAAAATATAATACATATATAAACCCTATATATCGGGTTGGCACAAAAGTAATGAGACACTTGGTTTAAGTTTTTACTTTTTTATTATTATTACAATAAAAAAAGTTTAGTCAATGATGTAATTACCATTAGTATCTAAGACTTCTTGCCAACGATCCGGCAAAGTTTGGATGCCTTTGCCCCGAACTCTGATGGCTGTGCCTCGAAAAAGTTGTTCAACTCCGCCTCTACGTCAGAGAAATCATTAAATTGTTTACCCCGCAAATGCTGTTTCAGGGCTCTAAACAAATGATAGTCTGATGGGGCGAGGTCTGGGGAATAAGGTGGGTGGGGTATCGTCTCCCAGCCCAAGTTCTCCAACTGCCGGCGAACCACAGATGCGACGTGAGGTCGAGCGTTATCGTGCAGTAAAACTACATTGACTCGTCTTCGTCGTTTTTTCTTGATAACGGCAGATAATTTGGTAAGCTGGGTTGAATATTTGTCAGCGTTTATAGTTTCATTGTATAATAGCTCATAAAACAGTATGCCTTGCGCATCCCAGAAACAGCAAAGCAGAATTTTTCGGCGGTTCTTTTGACTCGGCTTCGGTTGAGTTGGTGGCGTTTCTTCTCGAGGCAGCCAAAAAGCACGACGTGTATCGTTCTCGTAATAAATCCATGATTCGTCTCCAGTAACCAGATCTGACAAAAACTCTTTACGTCGGGGTCACAGCAAAAGTGACTGACAGATAGCGACACGGACTGCACGACTGGCGTCTGTAAGGATGTGCGGTACCCACCGAGCCAAAACTTTTCGATAACCAAGCTCATGCAGATGGTGTTCCACGGCGTGGTGACTGCATTTAAGTGCTTCCGCTAAATCACGAGTGGTAGCATCCGGATTCAACTGCAGTTCGCGGCGCAAATCATCATCATTCACTGCGGGTGGTCGCCATGAGCGTGGCTGACTTTCAAGGCTCCTGTCTCCTGATTTAAAACGGTCAAACCATCGGGACACCGTCGCATGGCTTGTACTTCCAGCGCCTAATGTATTGTTGATATTGTCAGCCGCAGCCCGCGCACTGTGGCCTAACAAGTACTCGTATAAGTATAGTGTTCGAACTTGTCGCTCGTCCATTTTTCTTCAAACTGACTAAACAAATCGCGAGCGCCGCTTTATATACCCTACACCAGAAGTACCTAGAATGTTCTACAACATTCTAGAATATTGTCGAAAAAATTGATTTTAAAAAAGAAATGTTATAGATTTTTCTAGTGTGTCTCATTACTTTTGTGCCAACCCAATACATACTTTCATGGACAGGTAGTGCTCTCTGACAAGTTTCCTAAATATATTAAGAGAATTAGCTTTTCTAATCGAAAAAGGTAGCGCATTCCATAGGCGTACACCGTGGACGGTAAAAGATTTATCGTAGTACCTAGTGGAATGCATTGGCATTTCCAGCCGCAGGTTTTCTGATGATCTCAAGAAGCGGGGATGGGATTCTTTGACGAATTTGAAACTATCTTTGATATAAAAAGAGGTAGTGGGATTAAAAAGTATACTAAATAACATATTTAAAATATGTGCATTCCGGCGAAATCGAATTGGCAACCACTTAAGTTTCTTGCGAAATACGGAAACGTGATCATATTTGCGTAGTCCAAATATAAATCTTATACAAAAATTTTGAAGGCACTCAAGCTTGTTCAGTTGCATTTCTGTAAGGTCTAGAAAGCTGACGTCGGCGTAATCGAGATGCAAAAAGATTGCGTCACTTCTTTGAGTTGCACATCCCAATTTAAGTTTTTATCAATATATACACCTAAATTTCTAACTACACATAGTGAAAACAAAGTCGTTGTCTGTATGTTGAGATCTTTTAAACTACACAACGGATTTCAATTGAGTTTTCATGAATTTACAGAGTGAATCAAGAAAAAGGTTTTTAATATGTATAATACAGGTCTATGCGGGCGAATCTGCAAGCGGAAAACTAGTAAAAATTATAATTAATAATGAAAGTGTCAATTGGAAAGGTTAAGCAAGTCATTAAATCATTAGCGGCTGCCCTTCCGCAATCCCAATTAAATTCATATAAATCTAAGTACACCTTTCTCAAAATTGATCACTCGCGTCGCGTGTTTCTGCTGTCAGTCATGAACGTATTATTACAAAGAGGACTGATAAAAATCAGAAAAATTGTAATATCTCTAATGGTGCTATCCCTCTCGATCCGGATTAGCTTATATAGAAGGACCAATAGAAAATATACTTTAACTGATAGTGATATAACTCATTTTCGTAATTAATAATAAAAATATGTTGATACAGACTTATTGTTACCGGCCGTGGCGAGTCTATTGTCGAGCTTATAACTGTGCACGCCGTTGTTGTAGTCTTGATAAAATTGGACAGATAGACAGAGGTGCCGCAACGGCCGCCTCAAATGATTCCACACGCCCACACCCAGTGACAGGCACTCGCCCGCCGAACAACTGAACTCCTCCTGCGGCTTGATGCATTGATTGTTCACGCTGACCTCTGTGAAATCATGCATTAATATTTGTTTTTCCGTCAGGTATATTATTGAAGAATATTAAACACGTATGGTTTTTTATTTTTTGCGTAATCAATAAATTTTGGCGATACTTTGAGTTGAAATGTCGTTTCATATCCTAAATAATATTTTTCTATTATTTGACTGTCGGACTAAATAGGACTCCTTTTTTTATTGTCGTCATCACTGTTATACGAGCTCTTATTTACACACTATTAACATGGAACGTCACTATTTTAATAATTCAGATTGCCAAGAGAGTAGAGCTAGAAACTAGTGCTGGAATTTGATGTTTTTACTTACTTTTTACCGGTTTCACTTTTTAAATTTAAAGTAATAAAGTCATTTGGAAGACTATAATAAGTGCAAGTGCAAAAAAATATAATCTAATATGCAACATTTTAGTGTTAAATAATCGTTCTACTTGGAAGTCGATAATAATATATAAGAACATTCTCCTCTTATTGATGATATAAAACTATTATTTGACTTTGAAAGACATTTTATAGTTCTTTAAATGTGATTTAAAAATCCCTTGACAATATTGCCTACAAATTCGTACTCGAAAAGAGTTGTTACTTCTTTTGGGAAATGTGGCTACAAGCTTAACAAAATAGACTTTATTTCTATAACAAATTTGTTACAATGGGATCGGTAACGTTAGCGGAATCACAGAAGATAATATTTACCCCAGTTGAGAGGCGACATTCTGACGATATCCATCATGGTTTGGGAAAGCGTGATGCCTTTGACCGATGCCCGTCCCCTTACGTCAGAGTGTAATAAATGCCACTGTAAATCCACATGCTGGGTCACGTGTTCAGAACACATCGCCTCCAGACCGCTCATTGATGACCCGGTTCCTATCGACTTGCATTCAATTGTGTCTAGAAGCAAGCAAGAAAATAAATTTATTCTACTTTGTGCAATAGAATTGCTACTAGTGTTTGAATATCTAAATTAAAATTTGAATAGAAATATTTATCATATCAATGTGAATGGCGATAGAAAATAATTTTTGAATTTGTTATAAGAAAACATGCGAACACACACCAGTATCAGGCTGAATCGTAAGAATTTAATATAAAATTATAAAATCATTCATTTGCGAGGTGTAGAGGAAATTCGTTTTGTTCAACTTGATTAATAAGCTATTAACTTGTTGGGTAATGTATTTACAACAGTAATAAGAACTCGTTGCATTTGGCATTGTTTGTTAATAGAAAAAAGTTTATTTTATGATTAACTTATCCCAATTGAAATCAAATGGTGTAGCTCGGTGGCGTAGCGGATAAGCGCCGCGGCCCGCGATCGTTGTCGTTAAGCAACTTTCGCAAGGGTCGGTCACGGAATGGGTGACCAAAAAATTATTATATCGAGCTACTCCGTGCTTCGGAAGGCACGTTAAGCCGTTGGTCCCGGCTGCATTTGCAGTCGTTAATACCCTCCAATCCGCATTGGGCCAGCGTGGAGGGTCATGGCCCATCCTCCTTAACCATCCATAAGGAAGGCCTGAGCCCCTGCAGTGGGGACGTAAAAGGGCTGGTGATGATGATGATGAAATCAAATGTGAATAGATATGAAACACAATTTCTATAACTACCTATCTATCTGTCTGTCTAGTAGGTAGAACGAATCGAAATTGAATTCTTGTCAGGGGCGTAGTTACCGCTGTATTAGTCGTATCAATAACCTGTATAAGCAAAAATTGTTAGCCTCCATCCCCCCACCCCAAATTTTCTTCCAAGGCACAATTCCTGTCCTTATTTAACTTTATCAAATATGACATTTTTTCAGTATAATTGAAGTATTGAACTTATAAATACAAACAGCCCCAGCTTTGTTTCCGATTATATATAAAGCGATAAAATAATCTGCGTAGCTGACCTTGTGAGTTGTCTTCATTAGTTTTAGTGGTGGCATTAAAGGGACATCTGTCTAGTGGTACCGGCACTCGGCACGATTCCTTACTTTCAATTAGGATATGCTTTGTTGGCGTGTAGTGGAAGTCCATCTCCTCTGACGTAAGGTTTGTCACGTCGAGAACTAGGTATAGCTGAGATGGGCTAAAACAAATCGATAATTTCGAGTAACAATAAATTTTAATATAATATTTTTTTTTTTTTTTTTTTTTTTTATTTATTCGGTACACAAACAGAAATACAATTACATCAATAAATAAGTCATCACGTAACAATGCAGCATGTCGAGTTGCACTTCCAATGACATGTGTACACAACATCATGAGACAAAATCAAGGCAAACATAATTTAGAGTGGGTTCAAAATTCATGCATAATTAAAAAATAAATAAGTAAAATTATTAGCTTTCCTAATCTCATAATGAATATGTATAATTATAATTAAAATCAATAAATTAAACAATAAAATACAATACAATATCTATCCCATTTTCAATTTACATATTCCATTCCTAAAAACGTTTAAAGACGAACTGTAGATGTCAGGTATTGCCAAATTATCATTATTTTTATGAAGTTCATTAAAGTCACGGCATATTCTATGTATTGGATTGTTAAATGACAAATTGTTGGCATCGAGTGGCACACTAAATGGGCGCAGCAGCCTAGGCAATCTAAAAGGCGCTCTCAAGTGAATTTCCGATAGCAAAGATGAAGATATCATCCCGTTCAATATTTTATATAAGAATAGAATACCGTGCATTTTTCGGCGATCATAAAGACTCAGCAAACCAAAGAAACGCAAACGTTCGCTATAGGAACAGAGCTCACGCTTGAGGCCTTGTTTTATGGTCAACATTTTGAGAGTTCGCCTCTGTATTGATTCCAACCTATCGATGTGGTTTTGATAATAAGGTGACCAAATCACGGAAGCATATTCAATCCGACTAAGAATCAGAGAGCGGTATAGTAGAAGCACACTCTCTGGAGATTTAAAATCACGGGACATACGATAAATAAATCCTAGCAATTGTCTACACTTAGTGGTGACCATATCATAATGAGTGGTGAAGCTCAGCCTGTTGTCAAACATTATACCAAGATCTCTAACGACCTGTCTTCTTTCAAGCGGTATACTATTTACATGATATTGGAATAGCAATGGGTTTTTCTTGCGTGTGAATGTTATGGTCGAGCATTTCTTTACATTAAGGCTCATACTGTTTTCACGGCACCAAACCAACAGGGTGTCGATATCTGACTGAAGGCTTTCGCAATCTTCGACTGTGTTTATCTGTGCATATATCTTCAAATCATCGGCGTAAAGCAATCCCAGATTTTTGAGTTTCGGAGGCAAGTCGTTGATATATTAGGCAACATCTCATACATTATTATATTTCATAAATGTCTCATTCACAATGCTATACTAAAATATATTCTTAATACAAAATGCCCTCGCATTATGGAGTATCCGGGATAACGAAGGTATCATAATATCCATACACGGAGACAGGACAGAAAAGTTCTTTTCCTACACAGTATTTGGATCAGTGCAGAAAATGACCGCGAATTGAACCTGGGACCTCAGCGACAGCGACACTTTGAAACTCGTTAATCTTTATAAGTGAAGAATCGTAATTGCTAGTTTCATATTCTTATAATATGCGTGTGCTTCTAATTGTTATTGGGATGAGATGTTTTAACTCGGGCGTTTATATTGCATATACGAGGGTCAAACTGAAAGTTCTTAGAACTGGCCACTTATAAACAATATAATAAAAAAATAATTCTAAAATTTGAAAATATAACTCTTTGCCAATATTACTGAGTATATATTTCATTCATTTGTCATTTGTTTTACGATTTGGCGGCAAATTGAAAATTGTCTGTGTCACGTCATCATGAATTTAACACGAGAAAATTTTCGTGCAATGATTTTTTATGACTTTCGATGTCATTTAAGTCAACAAGAAAGTTATGATAGACTACGATTGGCCTTTCACGATGAAGCCCCATCTCGTGCGACTGTTTACAACTGGTTTAATGAGTTTAAACGTGGTCGCACTAATCTCACTGATGATTTACGTGAGGGACGGCCTTCTACGGCGACGACTGAAGATAACATCTGTGTTGTGCGGCGTATGATAGAGACTGACAAAAGAGTGACCTATCAACAGATTCGGACAAGCTTAGGCATCGGTATGAGTCAAGTGCACAAAATCCTCCACGAACATTTAGCGGTCAGGAAGCTTTGCGCCCGGTGGATACCTCATAATTTGACTGAGGCTCAAAAACTCCATCGTGTGGATTGGTGTCGTAAAATGATTGAAAGATTTAACGGAGGTGACTCAAATGCTGTGTTCGACATACTAACAGGTGACGAAAGCTGGATTTACTGTTATGATCCTAAAACCAAAAGACAATCTGCTCAGTGGGTGTTTCCTTTCGAGGAGTTGCCAACTAAAGTGAAGAGAGATCGAAGTGCGGGAAAAAAAATGGTGGCCTCGTTCTTTGGAAGGATAGGTCATTTTGCAACAATTGTGTTAGAGGATCAAAAAACAGTTTCTGCAGAATGGTACACTACCAATTGTTTGCCACTTGTCTTGGAAAAAGTTCGAGAGAAACGACCTCGCAGTAGGATCCTCCTTCACCACGACAACGCCTCGTCGCACACCGCCAAGCGAACGATCGACTATTTGGCGACATCAAACGTTGAATTACTGGGTCACCCGCCGTATAGCCCCGACCTCGCGCCTTGTGATTTTTATTTATTTCCAAAAATTAAAGAAAAACTTAAAGGAAAGCGGTTTATGAATGCTGAAGAAGCGGTGGCTGCGTATCGCGATGCCATTGAAGAGACCCCTAAGGACGAGTGGGCAAAGTGCTTTTCCCAGTGGTTCTATCGCATGCAGCGGTGTATTGACGTGAATGGACAATATTTTGAAAAGATATAATAAAACTAATAACTGGCTAATGTAATCAGTTTTTGATTTTCTAAGAACTTTCAGTTTGACCCTCGTATCTACAAATATATATATATATAATTTATGATCCTAGATTTTGTGTTGCATTTAGTGTGTTAAATATTACTTATAAAATATATATAATCGGTGGTTTTTTTAATGGAAATTATTTTGCACGAGATTTTTATTATAATGAATTAACGATATTTATACATAAGTTTTTGGATAAAAACATTTTAAAATAATAATCACAGATCTATATACTGGAGTATATCAATTAAAAGTTAACTTTTATACCAGTCATGTCAAAGATACGACCCGCGGGCTGCATCCGGACCCCGAGTCGTGTTAATACGGCCCGCGATAGCAATGCGTTATAAAAAGTGAGATCTGACGAGATGATTATAGCATCGAGATCCTGCAAACACGAGGATTGAAATTTCTTACGGGATTGTTTTCCTTCTAACAGTAGAGATATTTAATAAACTGAAGATAGTAGCATCACTTACATTTCAGCTGGCAACACATCCCAATGCGTAATGGACACGCTAGGTAATAGTTCTAGGTTAATTTGAAGTGTCGATTGTCTACAATGTACCTCCTTGCCCGTTCCACCAGAGTACCGTATAATGACCTGTTTGGATTAACGATATACATTAATTAATACATATACTTATATGTTAAGAAATTTGAGAGATATATATATTATGAAATTATTTACTTGTGTTTCCACTTGCCGTCCTCTAGATGGCGGCATGACAGATATAGGAGCAGACCAACTTGTTGTGTGCGAATTGGTTGATCTAAATTAGACGAAACAAACAAAACTACCTGTACATATATGTATATATAGAAAAATTATTACCAAAAATCTTTATCTTTTTCTCTTTATTTCGTCTGTAAATTATTGGAGTTGGAAAAAAATCAATATTTTATTTTACTTATCAAAAACAATACTTAATTATCTAAATATTTTCTGATACACAGTAAATATCACCATTCGTTAATTGTCACAAAGAAAAAGCTATTACCTAAAACTTCCAGAAGTTCTATTAGGTATCAAGCCGCTACTGAGCGATGTTTGAGCATTTGAACTCTGTGTTGGCAGCGAAGACTGAACATTGGGTACCGGTGATCCAACTCTAGATGGGTAGTTTGAGGTCAAGCTGTTGGGAAACAGGTTTTCACCCCCAACACCACCAAGGTCCAGAAAATCCGCTTCTCCATACAACTTCATGTTTACTGTGGCTGTAGCATTGGGAGAGATTGGTAATTGAGCTTGGATATCTTCATTGGAGAATTGGAAAACTTTAGATTGCAGTAGATTGTCCATGTTAGACTGGAAACAGATAAACATTATTTAAAACATATAGCACTTATATTCATAGAAGTATTTGTAGGACATGCGTCATGGTTTCAATAAACAAATTTTGGAACAAAAAGTATAATATTCAATAATCTATTGAGTAATCAAACATTTTGATATTGATATATTCACTTATGATATTACGATCTAGCGAACAGTAAGCTTTACTTGGGAGTAAAAAGGAAACCTTTACAAAAAATATGAAAATAACTTACTTGAATAGCTATATCCAAATATTCTATAGGAACATTACTAGTGTTAGTTATCTTCATACTGCATTCTGTGCTTTCTCCATTGTAAAGAGTAATGTTTGTTGTGCTACCAACATTCTCTAAACTCGACAAGCTAACACTGCCCGAGGGCGCCACTATAGTCTCTATAGTTATAGTTGGTAAGCTGGGAATGACTTCGATTGTATATGAAGGTAGAAATTTATTTGGTGTTGGCATATTCTTCAGTCTGCAATTCGATTTGACACCTAAAGTGTGAGTGGAATACCCTAATATTTGTAATTCACCCACTTCTTTTGGTGTCCCGTGCAGGTTGACGGTCGTAGGAGAGTCTGGAGGCAATATTATAGTTTCCGGTATCGATTCGAATACCACGCCGGATGTGAGAAGTCTCATATTCGAAACTTTAAGTTCAAATGGTAGTGGATTCGTAAGCTTCATTTGGACTTCGCAGATATCATCTTCCACCCAGAGATACTCTACAAAAAATATGTAATTTTAATCTTATTAAATAATAAGTACTCTATATTCCACAGCAATGAAACGACATGGACTTAAATTAATATTTTATACAACTACGTACAAAAGCTTGCATTGTATGGAAAAAGCAAAACATTAAATAACAGATATAAAAAACAATATTTATTTTGACAAAATTGAGAGTAACAATTTTTAAAAACAATAGTTTCTAAAGTGTAAGATTCCTTTTGATTTTTTTTTATTCTCTATGGTTTCGCACGGTTTGTACATATAGCCAGCATCAAGTAAATAATTTGTATCAAGTTTTTCCCAAACCGAGCTCAAAATTTTTCAAGTAAGTCATAGTCCGTCAGTCAGTCATGTCAAGAGCTCAAGTATAGTGGTGGAACAATCTGTTAACGATTTTCACTAGTGCCGGCGCTTTAGTGGTAAAACATCGATCGAAATATTGTTATACATCAAAATGTCTTCAAAACAATTTCAATTAAAATATCTCACCCATTTTCCCCTCGTCTTTGTTGGCCTTTCGTTCGAGGCTGCCAAAGTGTATGGGCGTGAATATAAAGGGCCCCTGATTGGGTTTGGCGTTGAGTGGGTGCGGGGCGCGGGGCGCAGGGGGCGGGCGCGGCAGGAAGGAGGTGCAGCGCGGCACATGCGTCAAGTTAGCGGGGGGGATCACCTCGCCCGTCTCTAACACTAACGGCACGGGCCCTCCCTCGCATTGGGCTGATAACGCCTGGCGACATATTATTATCCACCCTTATAGGTAATAACATAAATCAAAATCTTTTCTATCTGGAAGGGAGAAACTGTAGAGAGGGTTTATATAACCTTAAAATATTACAAGAATTGCGTGACGTGATTAATAGGCAATGCTAAAATGCTGACGTTGATTCGACATTTACTTCCGCAAAATCCAATTAGGTTTTGAAATAAATTATTTTTGCGATCGTTTATCGACTACAGAACATCATTATCCATCAAACTTTTAAATAGAATAGGCTGACAAATTTATAAACTTCTTTGATTGTTAGATGTACTGTCGAGATCAAACCTGTAGTTGTATGGCCAAGTCTCTGTGCTCCTGTCGCGAGAGGTGAGGCCACATGGTCTGTAACAAAAAGGTCATATGCCTGGTGGCCAGCGCCGGGTGACCCATCCTCCGCGCGGCTACAACTATCTCTTGCAGTAGCTGGATTTGCAACGCCGGCCAACCTGGTATCATAACAGACACATCAATGAATATTTTTACACCTCGTCATGTATATTCAAGAATTCAACTCATGAATTATGCTATTGTGGTTTAGTTCTTATGAAACTTGCATAGAATGTTAAATAGTAGTTCGATATTATTAGAACATTAGGTACCTTCGTGTACTGAGTTTGGGAATTTCTTACCAACTTGATGTTGAATAACATAATTTGGATCGAGACTGAGTCTGTGGCCAGGAAAGCTGTGCAGCATGAGATAGTAGCACCGCTGCCAGTCGGGGTTAGGGTTGTTGGGGCTCACTTGACGTGTGGCCGCCAAACGTTGACAAAACGCCGCTTTCCGTAAGAAACCTAAAATTCAACATATTAGCCTTTGTTTTAATCAGGATCTTTATATCTATATTGTTGAGTAAGTTTTATTTTCGGAAACAGACCCAATTTGACGACATATATTCTAGAGACGAGCACACCCGACTTCGCGTTTGTTGTCCAATCTAATGTAGATATATCTCGTATGTTGCTGGCACTTACCTATTTCTTTGTAAAGTTCAGCCAGTGTGTCGAACCTCTGAATTTTCTCTTGTTCGCTCAAAGTGAGGTTAATGAATATGACGTTTTGAAGGAAGCTTGATGCGTGAAGACTATTATTTTGCTCTACAGCTATTCTAGCAGCTTTGAAACAAGCTTCGGTCTCAATTATACCAGCATTCTGGTATTTACTATAATGGATGATCGCTTTACGATACTTTTCAGCGATCTCTTCGCCGTTCAACAAGTATTGATTGTTAATTTGAGATGGTTGTCTGGGGATAGAGGGGTGATCGGACATGTAAAAGGATTTTTGACTTTGGTATTCGATGTCACTGGAAGACGCCAAAGACTCTGTGTCAGCATTATCAGTCTCCGATTGTCGTGACGAAGTCTCTAGACTTTCGGACGACGAAGGAGTCAGTTCGCTGGGAGGATTAACTGGACTAGAAGTTTTAGAAGATCTCAGTGGTGATGATGTGAGTTTGTATTTCCTAAAGGGATCAATATTGGGTTGAAATAATGACAGAGATTTAGTTTTATTTGGTGAACTCTCTTGTAAACTGGCATTTCTTTGTAAAGGAGTAGGATTGCGTAAATTAGGATACAGGAGAATTGCTGATGCAGCACATAACCCTGAAACATATAAAATAATATAAGTATGAAAGTAAAATGATTCCTTAATTTTGAAGGTGCAAAATTGAATTACCTTCTTTAGCTGCCGCCAACCATAACCAGTCGTTGACAGATTTGAGTATCTCCGCGGCATTATGATATAGGTTTAGACTATCTGCAATTAGGCCAGATTGTAGAGTTAAGTCTGCAAGGTTTTTGGTGACTCGTCCCATACAACGTTTCTTATTATTTCGCGACTCCATGTCTAGACCTGAATAAAGATTTTTATTCTTAATTATTGTTAAGTATTTTAAAAAGTAATTTTTATCCACATATTTACTTAATGTGGAAATTAAAAATGAAATTTCAAAAAAGGGACTTGCCTACAAAATCTTTTTTCTCAAAAGGTGCTAATAATAAAGACACTTTCTCTATTTTTTCCCTGGATCTTTCCAATCTTTTGGATTCAACAACCCAAAAAAGAGAATTAATCAAATCTGCTACATTCTGTTCTAAATCTGGCACTGGATCATTTTCACTATAGAACATAGCATGTGTTTTAAAATTAGATGGTGTTGTAAAATTCTCTTCTTGTACAGGTAAAGATGTTGAAGATGATGCTGAATGAGGGTAACTTTCAGCAGATGAAAGACTGTCAGCTTGATCACTAGGTAGTGAGAATCTGAAATATATAATTAATTTATTTGTGTGTAAATGTGACTAATTTATAGTGATTTTCCGTTTTAGAGAGACCCGAGAATTTCAATTGGAGTAAAAGACATGTATGTACCATGGTGTTTAGTGGATAATCTTCCAAGGACTCATCTGACAGTAAATAATTTGTAACTGTACCCCTATGTACTAATTAACAAAATGATGTCAATTACAAATAGTCACCAAGAGGTAATAAAATTAGGGATGTCCTAATAAAATAATAAAAAAAAATATTTGTTATAAACTCACTTTTCTCCCAGACTGCTGTTTTCCTTTGAGGTTTTGTCATCTTCAAATACACTATAGGTTTCTGGCTCTTGTTCTGGTTTTTTGCTTATTGGACCAAACATGAATGCCCTCGAATCATAAAGAGTATTGGAATATTTCACCTTCAAAGATTCATGTACACGACAAACTTCATTCAGTTCAATTTGATTTGTAAATTTACTTAACGTGATCAGTCCCAAAAGACGCCTGTAAGAGAATATTAGTAATGTACATTGTTAGTGACCACAACATACGATAGTATAGGATCATGTGAAGTTACCGGTGAGTCTGGAAGTCTCCCCAGTCATTATTTTCTACAGGATAGTCTCTAACATATCTAACCCAAATATCTCGAACTTGTCCAGAAGAATCTGATGACATAATAAATCAATATACAATTGGTACAGATATAGGTATAACATTTATTAAGTATGTTTTTGTAATAAATTATAAATAGTTACAATATGTACATGATACTTATTACTTCCTTTTAAAGAATAGGATATTTGAAAGAGTGCTTAAAGTACTATGAACTTTGAAAGGTCTTTCTATTCATGTCCTTTATTAATGCTAATGCAGCATTTTATTTAATCCTAAAAAAAATACTTACATAACAATATAGAGTAAGTTTGTTATCCTATCAAGTCATTATATCAATATTTAAAGCAATCATTGTAGCAACCCCATACAACAGCCAAACCAAAAAGCATTATCATTTTTGTTATGGTTTAGTATGTTTGACTCCCTCATAATACAAAGACATACATAATAAATCATTTATTTATTAAATCATTATGCAAAATCAACAACTATATTGTGAATATTTTTTTTTTTTATTTTGAAAAGTTTCTATCTCAAACAAGGTTTGGTTGTATTAAAACAAAAGCAGTCCTTAAAGTTAAAGCCAAAACCTTAATTGCACCATATTATTACATAGTTGTTATGTTATACCTGTAATATTAATTTTATAATTGGACACAAACATAACCCTGCAAGGGCACAGCAATATATAAATAATTGTATCAATTTAATGCTTAAATACTATCTTCTTCAAAAAATCATCCAATGAATAAAAACAATTAAATATTTTTTTAATAAAATATTATATTTATTAATGTTTTCTTTGTTTACACTCATTGAGAGGGAGCCATTTCGGAATAATTCTGATTTCTATAATAGTAGCGCACATTTATGTTTTGTTCCAAGGTTTTGGTGACGTTGATGGTACAGAAAAAAGGTAAGCTGCTTTTTAACAAATTCACAAGCAGAAAATATGTATAGGGATGGCAGCATTAGAATATTTAACTAAGTGAAGTAGAGCTATCCATAACACATAGATTTTATAGAATTCATATGCACAGTTTTTACAGTCAGAAAAGTTTATATACTTCAGAACTGTTTCCACATAACAGTCAGCCATAAGTGTGCATAGGCATAGTAAGCAATTTTTACTGAATTACACACATATATAATATCATTGATTGAAAATAGTTGTTATAAATAATATTTATCTAATGAATAATTTATGAAATTAAGTAGTTTAATATTAAATGTTTATGTGATGCTGTTGCTTTAGCACAAGCTAAGTATTATGGGTTACAATTTGGACAACCTAATGATTTTGTAAGAGGATTTAAGCTACACATACCAGTGACTTTTATGTTGTTTACTTTTTGAATCCTTTCCCACAGTTTGTTGAAGTTTTTCAACATGCCACCTATACCTTTCACCAGCACCAGGAGGCAAGCATGGTGCTGGGCATGTTGGCCATAGTCTGGATGAGACATTACAGATTCTCCAGGCGCGTGAGATAAAATGTAGCTCACTGAAGAGCGCATTGATATAACATTTGATGATATAACTGTAAATGTGTTTTATATTATTCTATTCACAAGAATTTACAGTTAACTGACCATTCATTGGTAATTAAATACAATTTGGAGACTAATTAAATATTGTTAAGATTCACTGGGTTGTTAATATAATATTAATCTTTGTATCTCTTTGGTATCACTAGTTTCACTAGCTTTGTGTGAATATCATGTCAAGTTTTCCAAAATAAAGAAACAAATCAATCTCTTTGAACAAATATGACAAATCCCAAGAGCAAAACTATATGAACAAATGAGGAAGTATTTAAAAAATAAAAATTATTTCCTGAAATCGTACTAGATGTCACTAGCGATTATTGGATCTTGTCTATGATATTCAAAGTCAATCTATTTATTATTGACAATATTATTGTAAGAACCAAAAAAGCACACACCCGTACGAATTAACATAACACCTGGTTTGACTTCCGTCGTCGATATGCAAGTTCAGTAGCGATAGTATAATAACTGCACGAGTTTTTGTAATTTATGGTTATAAACTTGCTGCCCGATTCAAACGGACGTTTCTTGTTGATTGATGAAATTTTATTAAGATTATTTTATTGTGCAAGTGCTTGAAAGATTCGTCAGTCCTATTAGGTCCTGGGTAGCTCAGCGGTTAGAGGAGTCGCCTGGATTGCGAAAGGTCGTGGGTTCGATTCCCATCTCAGGGTGCCAGGGAACAAGTGGATTTTTTAAGCATTTTGTATTAAGAATAATTTTCAGTATGACATTGTGAATGCAAAATTAATCAAAATATAATAATAAGATGATCAGTTATTAACTGATCATAGTTTTTCTTTTAATTCTTAATTTTGAAAGGACAACTTATTTGCACGTTATACTTTGCACAAACGTCATTCTAGCTAGAACTCATGTTATTTTGTTCGAATACCTAGTATGTTTGATACACATCGGGTAAAAATATAGATAATAAACGGTTTTTTAATCATAATTATCATTTTTATGACTTCTGTTGCTGATTATACTGCCGTAGTATTCTTGAATATTGTAGTTCCGTATGGTCACCACAGTCCTCTAAATACATAAATGAGATAGAAATAATACAGAAGAAATTTATAAAGCACTTAAATTATAAGACTGGTAGACATTTTCACGGTCCTTATGTTGATGATTGTCTGGAATTTGATCTCTTGTCTTTGCAATCTCGACGCGAACTGCTTGATATGTGCCTGTTGTATGGTATATTGCGCGGTAATTTAAACAGTCCTAATCTTCTTGCCGGTATTGCTTTCTGCACTCCCAAATATCGTACGCGAAAAACTCCTCTGCTTAGTATACCCAAACACCGAACTAACTACGGTAAAAATGCTGTCGTGACTCGTATCTCCAGAACATACAATAAAATATTTCACGACGTTGATGTTTTCCATTTATCCAAAACACTGTTTAAAAAACAATTGATCTTAAAATTGTTACGCTGAACGTCGGAAATAATTATGTAATATATATATTTAGTTCATTAACCAATTAATTAATGTAGCTTTTTGCAAAATAACTCAGATATTATCAAAAATAAGTTTAACTTTTAATGGTATTATAGATTTGATAACGAATAGGGAAGTACTTGGACTTCTGAGACTAAATGTCATTTGTATGTGTATTATGTATGTATAATATATGTATGTGGGACTGTATGTATTATTCATCTTTGTATGTGTATAGTATTGTTATTAAAATTTATACAGCCATTTACATGTACTTGTGTTTCGTTAGGCGGCATTCATTTGTTTTTTTTTCTTCTGTTTGTCCTATTTACCCAGTATAAAAAATGGAAACCTTAAAATATCGCTTATTTACGAGTACGAGCTCCACCGTGGCACCAGCGCTGCGGAAATGGCTCGAAGGGTTAATGATGTGTATGGTGGTTGTGTCGCAAAAGAAAACACAGTGCGTTTTTGGCAGTGGCGTAGCTAGGTAACCTAGGGCCCTGGGGCAAATTAAAAACTGGGCCCACTGCTATCAAAACTGGTAAGGTTTTTTGAAGTAAAATCATTAAATATACAAATACTTTAAAAATGCTAAGCAACTTTATCATCAACTCTTTTTCGTGCATGGGCAGGAAATAAAACTATTAAACACTAACAACATCAATTACAATTATTTTTATACTTGGTGTAGGTATTGGGCAATAAAACAAAACAGAAAAGATTCAAGGGTTTATTATATATTTATTTATTCATACATACGTTGCACCAGCTTACTGTTATTTAACCTATCGCCATGCAAGCTATTTACAAAAAATATCAATAGAAATATTTTGTCCAGAAGTACTTGCAGAAGGCTGACTAAAAAACTTGTCAATTTTGGGCAATTTTTGTTTACTTTCTTCACTTTCTTGGCGTTGTTTGCGTTTAAATGCGCCACTGGGTTTTCTTTTTTTTTTGTCCATAATATTAATTGTCTAATTTATTTATGCAATATTTATGTAAGACTGTACTCACTGTTCACTGACAACGTTACAAGTAAACAGAAAGCGAAACGTAATGATACGATACAAGACGTCGTTGGGGAATCCCATACGTGACATACGCTTTCTAACTCCTGATACATTAACTTTTTAACCATTCTCGAAAAAAAATCTTGACCCGAAGTTCACAATCGCGAGTCACAAAAACGCATATCGATAAATAATAATATGCAGATATTGATATCCAACAAATTGATGAAAACATAAATAACTCTATCAACCCACACAAATAATTTAGGGGAATTCCCTTTTTATAGCTTTGGAATTTCTCACAACTGAGTTGCCATGATTAAACTCATATTTATTTTGAAAATGCGAGAAATTTTCAAAAGTTGAGTTCGATTGAAATTTTCTGGTAAAGATTCGAGGGCCCCCTGAACTTGAGGGCCCCGGGGCACTGCCCCGCCTAGCCCCTTGGTAGCTACGCCAATGGTTTTTGGTTCCAACGTTTTCGTTCCAGAAATTTCGACCTGCAGAACAAGCCATTTGGGTGCCCGGAAAACCAAGTTAGTAATGAAAAATTGAAGGCTATTGTGGAAGCGGATCTATCGCAAACCACGTTCGAGTTAGCTGTAGGTTTCAGTGTTGGTGATAAAACTGTTTTAATCCACTTGAAGTAAATTAGAAAGATTAAAAAGCTTGAAAGGTGGGTACCTCACGAATTGAGTGAAGCAAATCGGCAAACGCGCTTCGACTGCTGCGTTACATTACTGAACCGGCACAATAACAAAGGGTTTTTAAATCAAATCATTAACTGTGATGAAAAGTGTATTCTCTATGATAATCGGAAGCGCTCAACGCTATGGTTGGACTCTGGCATGTCAGCCAAATCCTGCCCCAAGCGAAAATTGGCCCAGAAAAAGATATTTGTAAGCGTTTGGTGGACTAGTGTCGGTGTTGTTCATTACAGTTGTGGCGACTGATACATAGCGACATCTAATTCATCGCAGTAACATCGCCACAACAATCGATAGCGAGAAGACTAGCATCGTCACAGCCATCGATAGTAAGACGAACTGCAATAAGTTTCAACAGCAAGTAACGAGATGGCGCTGTACCAATACAAGCAACATAAATTAATAACTACAAGGCATTTAGAACAAAGAAACCTACATCGCACAGAATAAGTTTAATTACAAATTAGCATAAATAGAACGTCCAACCTACATCGGTTGGACCGCGGTCCCCGGGCTAACAACACCTAGCTCGGAGGGAGACAATTATCCTTTAGTCTCCCTGGCCAGTTGTCTCCATCACCACGGTAGGGACCCACCTTTAAGGAACCTTAAGGTTTCTAAACAGTTTTCTCAAATTTGGTCAGACAATTACGACAGACGTCTTTTGTCAGTAATTGCAAACCATGTTGGAAAAACTAGCTGTTAAATAACGAGGCTGGTTGAATTAATGATGTGATATTGTGGCACATCTGTTTTATAATCATTGTCGACCTCTCTGTGGCAACGTAATCTATGATATTTTGTAAGTGGCACTTCAACATCAAATAGTCTGAAAGTAAACTCATAACTGTGACACGTTTATTCATTTTTGCCGACCCTTCATATAAATAGAGTCAGATATTAAACTTACCAGTAAGTTAAATATCAACCTGTATACTAATAAATAAAACCCAAAACATTTCGGTAAAGTGGTGACCTCATACAATAATCGGTAAAATATAATTTTAAGTGGCATTTAGCTACGGTATACAATAATATTACCGCGAAATAGTTTTTATAAATAAAATACTTATGCCATAGTAGGTCTAGGAATTTTTCATTATAATATTTAAAAAAAGTTCTGAAAACAATAACAACTAGGTAAGTTAGTTTTATTGCTATTAGTTGTTTATTGAACTTACAACAACAAAACTACATCAAGTCCCAATAATATTATGTGTGGTGAATGAATGAATAACTAAACGATAATTATAATAAAAAATCCGTTTCCTATCTATATACTTACCCGATATGTATCAAATAAACTAGGTATTCGTACAAAATATCATGACTTCTGGCTAAAATGACGCAAGGTGTAACATGCAAATAACTTATGCTTTTGAAATTAAGAATTTAAAAACTATGATCAGTTACTAAATCTTATATTCATTATTAAATCATCTTGATAAACATTCAACAATCAACAAGAAACGTCTGTTCGTAATCTTTGTTTTGCGAACCATTGGCAAAGTTTTCGACTTTCAGAAGTACTATGTAACAGCCTAGACTGAATTGATTTTGATATTTATATTAATATCATTCGTTGTTCCACACAACAAATATAAGCTGAATTCTGACACATACAAATACAAGCTGAATTCTGCGCTCCGCTTTTTGTTCTTCATTACAAACCTGAATTCGGATGAAAGTTACGAGCAACCAATAAGTTGGCTCATTACTAATGTTGACGTATAAACAAAACATCGTTCCTGTACACTGTACATAATTAATTTGAAAGTCAGATATTATAAGAAACACAAAACGATGTCATATTTATTAATTTTCGATACTCAATTTACTTTTATTACGTTAGAAATATTATTGAATGAATATCATAAACAAAATCCAAACATCGGGAGGGACATCTAGAGTTTGGCAAGCGAAACGTGACACCACCTATTTTTCCGTTTTCATATGGCAACAACATAGAACTGTCAGTTTGACACTACGTTAGACAATTCAAGAATATTGAATTTTGTTGTTTTTGCGAATTTGAACTTGTGTTTTTGGTTAAAAATTATGTCGAAGCCGATAAAAAGTTCATCGAGGAAACTTCTTTCCATCATGATTGACAAGTTTACTGAAGTGAAAACTGAATTAAATAAAAATTTCATGGAGAAATTACAACGATTAGATAAAGTTGTATCTTTTTTAGGTTAGTTTTGTATTATAATTTTGATACTTTCGTTTTAATTTTCTGTAATTAACTAAACAGATATTTTTTATAAAATATTGCTCTATTTCAGATAACTGTGATGGTGATATTCAACCAATAATGGAGGAGATAAATGCAATAAAAACTTTAGAAAAACAAGAAATGCTGAATTCGGAAACGCAGTACTTACAAAAAATTTCTTCAATGACAGGTCTCTTTTCTTGTTTTGATTTAAGATAGATTGATAGTATTCCTATAATATTTACATAGGTTTTTTATGATGTATTGGTTTTTATTGTTGACATCCAATGATGTCATAAGAATGTTTTGTTTAACAAGGAAATTCACAGAATTCATGAAACTAATCAAACCATGTAATTGTTATACATGCTAAATATGCACATAAACTTAACTAAATTAAACATAAATTGCATTCATAGTTGAATAGGTATTTAAATTATTTTGATGTATGTGTCTATCATTATTTGCTTTTAAATACATTTAACATATCTTTGTTTCAAAGTGTTTAATCTTTTATAGATGTAAGTATAAGGACACTAAGAAGGATAAAAAATGAAGCATTAATTAATAAAGGAAAATGGGACACTCCTGGGAAAAAACGACCTCATCAACCAACAGTGTCTGCTTTAGATAATTTTGATTTAAGTGCAATTCGGAATAAAGTAAATGAATTTTACTGTGTGAAAAAAATTGTTCCAACATTAAGAAGCCTTCACAATGAATTAAAAGATGCAATAGGATTCAGTGGTAGCCGTGAGACTTTACGAAAAATTATGCTTAAGAATGGATTTTCTTTTAAAAGCAATGAAAATGAACGTTCTATGCTTATAGAAAAATACCAGATTTCTGCATGGAGGCACAAGTATTTGAGAGAAATAAATATAAAACGAAACGAAGGAAAGCAAATTGTGTACCTTGATGAAACTTATGTACATCAGAATTATAAAGTTAAAAAGTCTTGGCAAGGACCTTCAACAACTGGTGTCACTACAAAGATATCCTCTGGAAAACGGCATATTGTTGTGCATGCTGGATCTGAGGAAGGTTTTGTGCCTGGTGCATTATTAGTGTTCAGTAGTAAATCCAAATCTGCTGATTATCATGATGATATGAACTCATCGAACTTTATGAAATGGGTCAGAGAAAAATTAATACCAAATTTAAGTAAGCCCAGTGTAATTGTTATGGATAATGCCAGCTACCATATAAAACAAATCAATAAACCGCCTATAATGTCTAATACCAAAGCAGATATCCGTAAATGGCTTGTAAATAATGGAATACATTTTGAGGAATATCAGACAAAGGCAGAGTTAATGTGTTTGGTTAATGATAAGAAAACATTGCCTGTATATGAAGCTGAAGAGATTTTAAAAGAACATAATCATGAACTTTTATTGCTGCCACCGTATCATTGTGACTTAAACCCAATAGAGATGGTTTGGAGTCAAGCAAAAAGAAAAATTGCAAGCAGAAACATTGGAATACCAGGAAAGGAAATGGAAAACTTAATAATAGAGTGTTTTAACTTAATTACCCCTAGTGACTGGAAGAAATACACTGATCATGTTTTAAATGTCGAAAATGATTACAAATTAAAAGATGGCATTGTTGAAAACGAACTTGAAAAATTTATTATATCTGTTGGTGCAGACAGTAGTGAAGAGAGTGACTCTGATGATTCCTTGTCATTGTTATCAGGTGTAGAATATTTAGAAACAGATTTTGACTATGAATCAGACTAAAGTATTTTTAGTCTGATTCATAGTCAAAATCTTATCTTAAATTTTCTATTGTGATTAACATGATGATTTTGTGACACCTGTATTATGTAATTTATCCATGGCACTTAATTGTAACAAAAATAAATGTTTTTTTTATTGTAATCTGGTGTTTATATTGACTAATTTAATTTGATAGATAGTGGTTCTGGATCAGAGCAAAAGGTTGTGATGAAAATCCCTTAGGAGACATGTATGTGTTATGAACACATTATAAATATAAGGGCCAGAAATCAAAATTGGCTAACATCACATTTATTAAAAAAATGTGGCCAGAGTCGCCCATATTCATTACAAAAAAACAAAGAAGTCGTTGCAAAAAACACCCTTTTAATTAATGACAAATATGAATTTTTAATATTATAAGTGCTGTTAGCCAATAGGTATAACGAATGGGTTAAAAAAAAGATTCGATTTAGTCCGTCAGTCAGATAATAGAAAAATATTGGATACGTATTTTTTTTCGCTTTAATTTAACAACAAATGGCTTAAGAGGTACTATGCGACGACTTCAAATATGCTTTGCAACAATGTTACTTTAATACAGTTTATCGATACGAAATCAAGTGTCAAAATGGAGTCCAGTGGAGAATGCCGATATTGACATTTCGAAATTGCTCATCATTGATAGAGAATACGAAATAGTGATTTTGACACAATCAAAGTGTCTATTTTTTACGGTGATGACGATTCTTGGTTGTCAGTTGAGTTAGTGAATAGGCCTACTGATATGCTGTTAACTGTACAATTAAGAACAGTCACGCTTTAGTCAAATGTTCCAAAACAAATAATTTTAATTGATATCTAAATGTTAAGATTAAATATAATTAATAAAAGTATCAAAATTATTTTGCAGTACTACATTCAGTGTTTACTGCTTAAGAATTTTTGAAATTGCCGCCCTTTTCTTGTGACACGTTTCGCTTGCCAGACTCTAGTAAAATTTCAAGAACAATTTTTTATTTTTTAAATACTTCCTCATTACATGAAATGGTTACAAATGGGGAGTTAACATATCTTAAGACGGTTTTAAAACTTGTGGGTTTTTGAAATATATGAGGGAATGACGTCACACAAAGAAGGGGGATATTTAGGTCAATCGAAAAAAAATATTGTCGACATTCACAAAGTGAGCTGTCTTTGATCCTAATTTTTGCTAAGAAAACGAAAGTGTTGCGTGCCCTAATCAGTAAACTACAATTGTGCAGAAAATATGTTTTATATATATTTTTGATAAAAATAACATAGCAATCAAAAACAGTTTTCTCTATGTCTGGACGTATTGGGTATTCAACCTTTATTTTTAACACTAAGCACCGACGAACCCGTCAAAAGCATATTATTTTCGAAGGGCTTATCCCCGCATGCTCACTCCAGTCTACCCCAAGGTTTATCAATAATTTCCGATGAATAATAAAAAGCTGATTTATTGATTTTCATTTTAGATATTTTGTTTGCGAGGTTTCATCAGTAAAGCATTGAAAATGAAATATTTGATATAAACTTTAAAATAAAGCTGTATGGAAAAGACTCATTAGCTTTTGAATGACAACAACAACAAAAATAACCTCAATAATTATTTTTTTGCTTGCTAATTTATGTACCGTTGTTATCATATATAAACAATTTGTATTTTCTTTAATTTATTGGCAAAGAATGGCTTCTAAAGAAGGAGGTGAAAAAACAAAAGTAATATTTATTTTGCTATATAATTAACATAATATACCCTTTATGCTGTAAATAGTTTACCAAAAATTACCTTTCCGTTTTTAGAGCGGTTCGGGAGCGGGAGATAATAAAGAGAAGCGAAGGAAGGAGTCTATCCTCGATCTCAGCAAGTACTTAGAAAAAAGTATTCGAGTAAAATTTGCTGGAGGACGTGAAGCTGCTGGAATACTAAAGGGATATGATCCTCTTTTAAATCTTGTTTTAGACAATACCACAGAGTTTCTCAGAGGTTAGTGATTAATATTTTGTGCATGAAATTAATCTAATGGTAATTTTAAAACAGCGTATTTGACCCACTTGACCCTAGAAAGTGGCTAAGATTTGAATCTTTATTTGTCTTTTTTAACTTTTATGATTGTTATAGTTAGTTTGATCAACATTGATATTCAAGGGCCCAATGTATAGGTTTATGTGAATTACTAATGCTTAGAACTGTCTTGTGTCTATTAGCAGCATATTTAAGAATTCAAATGTATCATCAATGTATATTCATTAAACCATAACTATGTAGGTACTTTGAGGTACTATGTGCTTGTTTTCTCATTGAACTGTAAAAAAGTAACTAAATAATGTGATTGTTTATGGAAAGAATGTTGTATTTACCCCTGTTGAACTATAATAATAACTGTATTTTTCAGATCCTGATGATCCATATAAACTCCTTGATGATACAAGAGCACTTGGTCTAGTAGTCTGCAGGGGTACTTCAGTAGTATTGATTTGTCCCGTGGATGGCATGGAAGCAATACCTAATCCATTCATTACACAAGAAGGATAATCTTAGTTATATTTTATATTAGTACTGTAAGACATAAAAATAAGTACACATTAAGAATTCTAAAACAATATGTTTTATTCATAAATTTTATTTTAGAGGAGTTCACAAACAACAAAAATAGTTACATATTTAGAATTTTTTAAAGTATTTTTGTTCAAATGAGATAGTTAGTACACAAGAATGCACAGACTAATATAATATATTAATAATTAAAAAGTAAATATTTACATTCATTCACTAAGGCATGGTAACTTAAAGCATCTATTGATGATAACGTTTAAATCATTAGCATAAGTATTACGAGCAAAGAGATTGAAATAGGTTGTTTATTGATCGCCTACAAAAATATTGCACACATTGCCATTATCTGCCACTGAGTGTTGTGTATTGAAAACACTGAATTGTTTCAAGATTGGAAACTTATATTAAATTAATATCTACTTAAACAATAACTTGAATAATTTAAATATTGGTAACTAACACATGATTTGTATGGATGCCCACTATAATTATTGTAATTTATAAAAATTATGACTTATAAGTATGACTTTATCATATAAGTGTATCTCAATCATATCTCCATACACACACACATACATACTCTTTGCTATGCATTGATTTGTCAAAAATACTGATTTCGCCACTGACTTTAAACTGAAACTAATGAAGGTCATTATTTTTATATAAATATTTGCTGACAATAATAAAAAGGTTAATAACATAGTGGATTTCCATAATTATCAAATAATTTTCTTCTGATGTCACTCTACACCAAATTCATTTCTTATCCAGGGGTATGATTTTGGGCATTCTGTACAAGTTATCATATATCTGTCGTGAGCAAGGACTTTAGATGACAATTTACAGGTCCTTGGCTGGGTGCATGCAACTTCGCTATCCACAAAATGTCGGTTTTGACACTGCCACAGATGAAAATTTTTCAGTTGAAGTACTGGAGTTGGCCTCTTGATCCATTCAATGGCTTGGTGGTTTGTAACAAAATAGACATCTGGTAGCCTCAGAACCTCAGTCATGAATCTCTGAAAGTTAAATCACAGTAATTATTAACCAATTTCCTATTTCTTTTACATAACATTTATTAAGTAATAAGTATGATAAGGTAGAAAATCGGTTTCAACATTTTCACAACACTGAGATGGGCTAATATAATCAGTTCTTTATAAACCGATCTGCATGTCTCGGGTAGATATAATTTCGGCTTTATTATAATAAGAGCTATTGCATTTTATTAAACAAATTTATGTGAAGACTATCAGATGGACTCCTTACGACATTGTTACCCTATTTTGTTTCCAAATTCATAAAGTTTTTAATGGAAATGGTGTCTGTCATGCTATGTAGACAACAAAGCAGTTGTTTTTATCAATACAATTTTTTTTATATAGTAGAAATCCGGAACTCTTCATCTTTAGCGAAATATATAAGCCCATATAAAATAAAATTATTTTGATGGAGATGTTTATGGAGAGAAATTTTGAAAAAAATTGCAAGGAAAATAGTAAAGGCAACAGCAATAGAACTGACCCATTAGTTAAATCTGTGGACGTACGAAGTTTGAGTCAGCTAGTCTATGTTTGTAGGGGGTAATCTTCGGAAATACTGATCCGATCATGAAAATTCTATCACTTACGGGATTGAATTTAAATGATTGGATCAGAACATCATATAATTACCATCATTATATTCATATAATTTGCGCAGGTGAAGTCGCGGGAAAACTGCTGGTAAAAAATAAATTTATAAGTGTTCTACTAGAAATACCTTGAATTCAATTAGGTAGTCTTCATTAGATCTCAGCCAAGTCGAGCTCAGATGGATGCCAAAAGGCGCCCTATTCGTAAGGTAGTGCCTCTTGAAATTGTTTATTAGTACTTTGTATACGTCCCCACGGTTCAGTTTCGTGGGACAAAGATCCAAGGTGGGGCAGGTACTGTTGCCGTTTGTTAATGGGTTGATGACCATTTCCCAAAGACCTGCGTAGCTCCTTGTGGGGCACTGCTGATTGCTTACTGCGAAACGAAATCATAGACATCTGGCTTTTAAGCTGAAATTCAATATAGTTTAGTGCTTGTGGAAATTTTAAAAACTATGCTATCGATGTGCTGCTGTTGAAAGATCTTTCTTTTTTAATATTAGGAAACACCGCGACATAGCTAAAGCACTTGTATTATGGAAATCTGAAACAACGAAGGTAATACAACACCCAGGTAATCGAACTCTCTCAGAGATGGCGACACCTCGAAAACGGTGAAATTAAAATAATCGTCATGATTTGTGAGTAAGTAATAAAATAAATTAAAAATAAAAAAAAGTTTGTTAAAAAACAGCCTTTTTTTGTAAGCACTAAACGTAAAACGTAACGTGAGTATTTTAAATGTTTAGAATTTATTAATTTACGTTTAGTGCGTACAAATAAAAGGGTGTTTTTTAAAAGACTTTTCTTTATTATATTTTTATTTTTTACTTTTTAGGTTTTGTTGTTCTCATTAAGATGGATCTAAAGAGTCTAAATACGGTGCAGTTGCGTTATTTCATTGCTAAGTTCCTATGACCTTCCAAATCCATCATCATCAGACCCTGGTCTGGAAAGTATCCAATACTAAAGTCCTCATAAAGACGGATCTATTATGCAGTACATGATGCAGCTGCGCCATTTTGTCACCAAATTCCTATGACGAACTTCCTACTTCATCACCATATCAGCTTGCTGACACCATACTATTGCATTGTTATCTGACTTATATGTATGTGCAAAATTTCAAATCTATCGGAGATTGGGAAGCGGGTCAAATTTGAGTTTCAAGATTGCGCACAAACTAACAAGACAAGTTAAATAAAAGCTTGTAATACAAATAGTTTCATACGTGGAATCACCATCTTCTGTAGATAGGTACCTATCCACCTCATTGTTTTAAACCTAATTTAGTGTCTGATATCTTTGGGGAGGTATTTGTGGTTGTTATCAAAGAGAATGACTTCGGTAAATTACTAGAATGACAAATATGATACGAAGTACGAAAACTGTAAGTGGAGCGTGTGAAAGATGAACAGATTATTAAAAACTGTTACAAGCACCGGTCGGGAGTCGGGACAAACCGCAGAATGTGCGATTGCATCATGGATAACTGCAAGATGCGCTATTGTTCGTGGCAAGTGACATAATATCGACGAGAATGCGGCAGTTAACGATAAGTATTCAATTGTGACTGCAATCAGAGGTGAAATTATTCAAATATAATCACGTCAAGTTTTTTCAAAATGGGAGTACCTATATTTTCAAAATTAAATATCGTTAGATTTATTATAAAATTAATCAAATGAATAGTAGTATTGAGAGTCGAATTAACTAGGTGCTTAAAAATAAATTTATTTCGCGGCATCCCCGTTTACCCATGGTGCAGGGGGTGCATCCGGGTGCTGCGAGTGGGGTGCGCTGCGCCGATGATGGTCTAATCTTGTAGTACCTACTCATCGATGACTTCGGTAATGTTATTCTATTTCAATAATTTTTATATTTTTCCACCGCTGAGGCTGAACAACTACATAGTAGTTTTCAAAATTTTGTTCCTGTAATAGGGTGGGCGCCAGAGCACTGATGCACCCGGGCGCCTGTTGTGCTTAATACGAGCCTGTTTGGCAATTGTTGCCAGGTAAAGATTGCACTGAAATCACCACAGATAAAACAAGAGAGAGAGAGGGATGGGCACACTATCAAGTTTAAATTATCAAGATCCGTCCATACCTAACGACCGAGTAACCTCTGAAGACATTTGAAGTCGATATTGACTGAGCAGTTTCGGAAGATCCGACTGTGTTGCAGCTAAACCTATTTTGGGAGAACATCATCCAAATAGTTACCGTTGCATGTGTGAGGCATCTTATAATCCAATGTATATGGCCAATAGGGTGGATCGACGAGAGGTGCCACCACCGTAGAATCGTACACAAAGCCGAACTCTTGCATCATCAGAAACTGCCGGTTCCAACCCACCGCTAGGAAAGGCACGCGAAGGCCTCTGTAAAATCAGTAATGTATCAAACGCATATCCAGCATTCAGCGCAAAATACAATAAGATAATACATGAAAAGACTTGGTTCTAGGTCTTCAAGCTTAATTATTACGTCGTTAATCAAGCTGAGATTAATATAGGAATTTATATATAAATGGGTATAACTATTTTATAAGTAACTACTTATCATTCGAACAAAAGAATGATAAAATTGTAATATCTACAAAGCTTCCGTAGCATATTTTCAAATGTAATGTTCTCACGCAAGCACGCGATTTCGCATTAATACCACATCGATTACTTAGTTATTGTTTTTAATTTTATTACATTGACTTCAATTGATCTATTATTCTTTTATATCGAATACCCTTTAGAAAGTATTATTATTTTATATATTATTATATATTTAAAAGGAGCATTTGCCAAAGATATTAGTTATTAAACTCATTGGCTTGTACGATAACAAAAACTCCCAGTTTTAGACAGGAAGTATATAGGTCAACATTTAAAAAAAAATCCCTTTGCATAAATAAATAATATAATTTTATCAAATATTAGTTATAAAGAGCATATATTTAATTGTTTGTATACATCAAAGAGGTTTCGAAACTACTAACCAGTTTTAAAAATTCTTTCACCTACGGCTACGGGAAGCTACATTATACGCGAGGGATATAGGCTATAATTTTTATTTATTTAGTACATTATATAAAAATAAACATTTTTCAGTACAGACACTGTTTCTTTGTAAGTAGAGATTGAAATTATTTTTTGCGTAATTATCAAACAAATAGTTTGCACGTTTGCTCATGGATTACATGATTTTGAAAACTCCTTTGCGAACTTCTATGTCATAATTATAAGTGAATCAAATTTCAACTCGATCGAATATTGGACAATTACTTTGAGTTCGGCAGAATAAATAATTACAGGATTCATTTCATTTTCATTTTACATGTAAAAATTAATTTATTTACTTGACATTGGCAGAATTGTGCGAAATGCGCAGATAAGCCATTATTTAAAAAAGAAGAAGAAGAAGTACTTTGAGTTCTGCTTTGTCAAAGTGAAGATTATCTTATATTTATATAAACTTATAAAGAGTACTTTTGAATTGTCCAACGTTTTTGTACCTACTACTAGTTCAGCAGGCTAATTTTGCTAATGTTTACGTAATAATCACATTTCAATAGAATCTCAACGACATGCATTTTGTCATTGTACCAGAAGTTCAATGTTATTAGTGCAATGTCTTCCTTACAAATCAATGGTGACAAATAAAAAATGAAACTTAATTTCCTTCAAACATTTTACATTATATAAAAACTTTTTACAAAAAATAGAACTGGCGTCGTGCGCCTATCATTTAATTAATATGTTACAGGAGACCTCCACCCGACTTTTTGAGATAAGTATTATTTATCATATTTTTAAAGATTGAAACCAGTTCTATTTTGTAAAAGTTTTTATAAGCACCTGTATTACCCGTATCAGCAGAGCGATTCTGTAAAAACCCAATCCCGAATTCAAATACTACAAAAATGGAATCAATAGAATTTAAATATCACTAAATTCTATTGATTCCATTTTTGCATATATAAAACAAAATTGATTGATTCATACGTGTCACAGATATTCTATTTCTATGTCATTTCGAAACTCACTTCACTTACTCCACGAAACTTTATTATCAATTCATGGTTGAGCGTATGCCGCTTTTGAAGTGAACTCGGACTCTTTCAGTCGTTATACAGGTATATTTAAATTTTATGTCAAAATGTCTTGTCTGATAAGAAGAACGAGCGCAAGAGACTCATCAGTTTTAACGTTGATTCAAGTATATCAGTCAGTCAGTGAGTATCTGTTGCCTTTATTATATTTTGATAAAATTATTTTTTACCTGAAATCTTCCATTCGTACTCTCCCGAACCTGTTGATTACATTGGCCTGACCGACCATTTCATCGAACCAGTCCTCCACCGTTGCATTTTTTGACCACCACTCTTCAGGGCCACGATTTCTGTAATATTTTAATTAATTATTTATGAGAATTACTGCAGTTAAATTATTAAACTTGCCTAACTTTCTTTGTTGGTTTAAGGCAATTAATTTATTTACATCTATTTTACGTAATATCATAAACTTTATGTGCTTACGTTATTGAATTTACTGCAATTTCGTGTCCGTCGTTCCATAGTTTCTGCACATGTCTGTAGTTCGAATAAGAGTGGGATACAAAGAAGGTTGCTTTCACTGGACACCCGTTCGGATTCTTCTTGTCTGGAGTGAATAGGTGCTTGGAGTAAATGTCCCAATTCTCGTGGTTAACCGGCCCGTGAAAGGTCAACGTTATCATTTGAGGAGTCTGTTGAATGATCATTGAGATATACCATTGTGAGTTAGTTCACAAACCTTGTCTGTGAGGTTAGATAGTAAACAAAGGTTATCATAGGTTCTATGCCTAAGGCAGTAGCTTATATTGTTTAATAAACACTTCCTTTGCTATGAAAATATGACTTTGTTTGCTCTTTAAAAAATTATGTATATATATTTGTAAAAAAGTAACAGTGTCTTTACATCCATGGACATTATCATAATTTTTTTAGAATATCTAAATAAATAAGTTAATAAATAGATAATCTTTGTGAGCTTAGATAATTATATCAATTAAAGTTTTAATACTCTAAGTTTGTGAGGCTTTATGTATGTAAATGTACTACTTTTATAATTTCACAACTTTTATTTTTAAAATCATGACATTATTCATAATGGTAAAATATCTTATTTATTTTAATAGTTACCTGCTTAGGTTACTTGGTAGTTGGTATTATCCTTAGGTATTTTCTCTCATTCATTACTGATAAAATATTTATAGGTAAAGAAGACGAATCAGTAACCATAAGTATTATCATTAATTAAATTAGAATTACAACAAAATATGTCCTCGATGGAGCTCGATGGCGCAGTGGTTAGCGTGTTCGGTGAGCTATACAGAAGTTAAGCAACATTCTCAAGGGGCGGACATAGGATGGGTACACCCATCTAAGACCTATGGGTCTTCGTTGCATTTGCTGTTATTAACACCCACCAATCACATAAGTTCCGCCACATTTTCTCTATTCTATTCTATCCATAGTAAAGGTCTGTGTTGCCAGCAGTGGGGATATTAATAAGCTGGTGATAATAATAATATAACCCTCCAATCCGCATTGGGCCAGCGTGGAGGGTCATGGCCCATCCTCCTTAACCATCCATAAGAAAGGCCTGAGCCCCTGCAGTGGGGACGTAAAAGGGCTGGTGTGAATAATAATATAACCACAGATGTTATTGAGCTATATTGAATAGTACGTATCATACCTGCATAGATACCAGACTGCCGGGTGTCTCGGTGCCGTTCTTCGTACAGAAACAGTTGGGCAGTTCGCACTGGTATGTATCACAGGGAGCTGCTGTGTTGGGATCATAGTCGCTTTCGCACCAACCCTGAGATGACAATGTAATGTTATTTCGAAAAAAAGATCCGAAAGTTCGAATCAGTCTTATGTGAACACGGAACTTGTACCTTTACTGGTCAATAAAATAGAAATGCGAAGAAACCGTTTAAAAGCAAAATTGATTAAAAAATGCTTGGAGTATACGCAACGGAACTTTGAGGAAAAGTTCTGGTTCAGAGTTCTAACCTTTTTTTTATACCCAGGGTAACTGACCTTAACATGCCGTCGACCTGGGTGAGAGGCCGACTGAACCCGGGCTCTCCCACTGCAAGGGACGGCGGTCCAGTGCAGTAGGCCAACCGTGCAAAACCCCACGTACTACCCACATTCTTGGTTCGGGTACCTGAATCTTAAAATAAGTCCCAGGTAGACCCGGACCGTAACCTAACCTAACCTAACCAAATCTTATTTATTATGTATAGTTAAGTGATTTACTTAATGATTCACCAGTATTTGGTATCGCGAGATGGGACTCAAACTTGCAACCTTTCGCAGTCCGGGTGATTGCCCTAACTACTGAGGTACCTGAGACCGTAGGACTGACGAATCTTCCAAGTACTTGCTACTTTTCATCACTAGTGAGCATATTTTAAGAACTATTCATTAAATATTGTTATCAATTATGAAATGCAAAATAATTCACGTACCTATAATAAAAAATATACAGAAATTTTCTAGTCTTTTATTCCGAAAACCAAAAAAATACAGAAGAACGTGGATACTTTCTTATATTAAGCTTATTATTAGTGCCAAGAAACCGGACAGAATACTTGTGCGACTACTTTTACCCTATATTTAGGTACTTTACGCTAACTCTTAGCGTAGAAAAGGATAATTAAGTAAACCTATAAATATTTTGCGTTAAGATTGACTTGAATGAGATTATAGGATACTGAATTATATGTATTTTTAGGAAAACTGACTTCCTCATTATTTTGAAGTTATTTTCGAAACAGCGAAAAATTTGTCTTTTCGATGATAATATAAAAAAGTCTATAATGCCGTGACCGGGCATCGAAAACGTATTTCCTACAATTGACTTCATTTTTCAATTAGGTATAATTCGGATACCGAAATGAAAACGGATATATATGAGATACATTTCTCTATAAAAGTAGTTTAACATCATTCTTTATTGCCCTCTATAAAGACACGAATCATAGAATAGTGATACCTTTACAAAAGTCGGTTTTATTGTTAAGCTACAGTAATCTTTTCCTGAAAAGTATATAGAGCCAATGGGGATATTGGTTGCAATAATCAGAAGAAACACATTTGAACACAAAATATTAGCTAAAGAAAGGTAATAACTTTCAATTCACTTGCAGAAAGAATTGAAGCACATTAAGTACATTACTAGTTTTAATTATCACAATAGCTTCCGCTACTTACATCATCCCTAAAAGGAACCGAACTTCAAGTGAGTAGAAATTTAACGTATGTAGTTACCAAGGCACAGTTTTAAATAGCGCGAAATATTTTTACGAGTAACGTTATTACTGGCAGTTATGATATAACAGTGCGTGGAAGTGAGAGTCATTGATGCAAGTAATAAATGTGTGTGTTTTTACAAACCTACTGTCTGTTTAATGCGAGCAATGTAATGTTGTGTAATCGAATAGAGATATAAAACGTGTATTTCCAAAAGAAAAAATTTCAATAATGATTTTCAATAATAAAAAATACTGACTTTATCATGTTATTTTGTGTGTTACTTTATAATATTTAACTATCATTCATTTTCATAAATTATTAGCATCATTTAATTTCTAATTTATGAAAGAACATATTCTAAAGATCTAATTTAGTTAATAATAATTAATATAATCTTTAACCATATAAAAGATATCAACGCGCTAATGCGTTCATTACAAATGGAAAAGCAATCAAAATAATTAATTTTCTCCTTATTTCGTAGTTCTATTTTAATTATCTTGATATAGGAATTTTATATTTGATGTGGATTCAATGTAATATGTGTACAGATTTCAAGTATTTTATTTAATATTAATAATAGAAAGTAACTCTCTGCGTCTAACTTCATTAAAATTATTAAGAATGACGGCATAATTAGTATATATAGTATATTAGACAATATCTCATTTATCTCGTGAAAAATAAGCAAGACATGAAAAATTGTTTAAAAAACGTACACATATAAGTGACTAAATTAAGTGTACTCGTAATAAGTACTCGTACATTCGCTGATTAGATACAATTTCTATTTTGTATCGGCTTAGGGTAATTTGAGATTTCAGTAATATGTTTCACCTTGTTTTTAATATCAGACATTATATGTACCTCGTCGGAAGAGTCGTCGCAGTCATTCGAACCGTCGCAGAAGTATTCAGCGGGTATGCAGGCCCCATCCCCGCACCCCAGGTGGGTATCGTTAGCACAACTCGCTAGTTCGAGGAGCGGCTTAGGAATTAGAATTTCTAAAAAATTTGGAATTGAATTAAAAATAAGATATTAATTTATAGTTTGCTTTACTGTATTAGCTGTTTTACGCAACATACATAGGTCATTACCTTTATCCTATATTTAACGACTGTCATTTTAAGAGAAGTTTCGGAGTATGATAAATGTTGAAAACATACGACATCATGATCTCAGGTTTTTACAATTCCAATAGAATATAATTTATTCCATCTAGGCTACTCTACGGCGGGAGACCTTGTACTGAGAAGAACCGGCAAGAAAGTCTGCAAGGGCTAGTTTTTTCTCACTGTTTTATTCCAAACAAAGACGTCTTATTGGAAAATGATTTCATTATACTTCATTAGACCCTGTAGTCAGAAGAACTGGCATAAAAAGACAGCAAGGCAACATATCTCTTGTTCCTTTACAGTACTTTTATTACAACCGTAAATGATTAATACTATAGATTACAAGAATGAACATAACTTAGGCAGTTTGGTATTCAATATTATTACGCATAACATGCAAACTACTTTTCCCTGTTTTTTTAGAGTATGTGAAGTATATATAATCGAAAATCTCCATGACACTCGTATTTTATGCAGTACAAAGAATACTAACTTTGGAACTCTCGTCATAGCGCTAATATTAACCTATCTTGCAAGTTATAACCATGCCAGTCTCTACTTTTTAATTTCTACTTCATAAGGGACAGCTAAAGTGGCGACCACGGACCGGAAAATGGAGCATCGATATAGTATATAAGGCCGAAAAATAGTACAATGCTGTATATTATTCGCCAGTTGGAAACCTAATTTAATTAACTAGTCAAAAATAATGTAACATGTATACGAACCAACCTGTAGCAAGGTCACAATTGTAAACATTTAGCGCTTTGTCGCATTTTTGTCTGTTCACGTCAAAAAGCAGACCTTCTGAGCATCGGAACTCGTAGACCTCTCCATCTACGCAAAGGTAGTATTTTGCGCATTCAGCAAATGTCCATATCGATTGCTCTGGTCGGTCCGGGTTCCTATAATCGAAGATTAATGATTAAAACATTGAATGTAATATAATTTATTACTAAAAAAATTACTATACACGAGTGTTTGTTTTATTTTGCTAGATGATGCCTATACAAGGAAGAATATTCTATGCTATTATTGTTTCTTTCTATAGATGTCTTCTGAGACTGCAACTGGATAGCGTCATCAATTGTGTTTCATTTCCTTATGTTAAAATATAAAAACTTTAAAAAAAATAGAAGTGACTTCAAATTTAAAAAAAGTAATAAATAATACTTATCTCGAAAGCAACTCAAGAAAATAATGCTATTGAAGTCGGTAGGAGGTCTTCTATAGACTTATTAATTAAATGATAGGAGCCCGACTTCAATAGCATTTTTTGAATAAGTTGCTTTTGATATAAAGTATATTTATTACTTTTTTTAAAGTTTGAAGTCGGTTCTATTTTGTTAAAGATTTTTTTTCATGGTTTTCAGTTATATTGATATTTTTTTATATTTAAATACTAGCTTTCCGCCAGCGGCTTTGCCCGCGTGGTCCCTATGGAACTGTTTATTTGGATATCGACACCATGATACGTTTTTTTATTCATATCATGACACCATGATACGGATATAATTACAATGATGGATGAATTTAATAGTAAATAATCTTCAATAAGGTAACGTTTTCATTCCCAAACTTCCACTCCCATTTTTATCCCTTGATTTGTTGTTTTTCGGGATAAAATATAGCCTATGTTTACCGCATATGATGTAGCTTCTTATAGGTCAAAGCATTTTTAAAATCGGTCAAGTAGTTTCGGAGCCTATTCGTTGCAAACGATCAAATAAACAAACAGCCAAATCTTTCCTCTTTATAATATTAGTATAGATATAGAACTTTATAAATAAAAATATTTAATATAGTGTAAGTCTTAGAAAATAAGATTTTGTTTATGTGCTTGACATAATTTTTTTCCAATAATTCTATTCTCATATTAGGTATAAATATGAAAGATTCCATTGCTTGTTTGTTTGTATTGAATGAGGTCCGAAACTATTGGGCCGATTTATAAAAGTCTTACATCTACGGGAAACTACATAATACACGTTGGACATAGGCTATAATTTACGCAGGCGAAGTTGCGGGGAAACTACTGGTTTGATTGAAATCGGTTCACAATTTAAGAAGACATACACATATTTTTATAAAAAATATACATATTTCTTGAACATAGAAATTTTTCCTTTTGGATTTTGAATGAATTCGAAATATGCAATTTTGATTTTTTTTTTGCACGAAATGATATGAAATTACAATACATAACATCTAAATATTTAGGTGATATATGGTGAAAAACGTATTTTGGTTCGTTATAAAAGGAAAACTACTGATACGATTTCAATAAAATTTAAATGGAACCATTTTGGAACATTAAGCTGTCGAATAAAATTCTTTTTTTCATATCAATTTGAACATACACATCGCTATCATAAAACAGATGTACATCGCCGTCGACCATATAACCTCCTCTTTTGTGATTTGAAGTCGGTAATAACTAAATACTTTACACGGTTGCACGTCTGGTCATAAGAAAGGAGTAGCTCGGATTGCGATATGTCATGGGTCCGTGTCCCATCTCAGAGTGCCAGGGACGAAGTGCATTTTTTAAGCATTTTTCAGTATAGCACTGTGAATGCAAAACTGATCGAATATAATACGATACAATACTTAACATACAAAAATTTTAGATATTTCTAGGAAGTGAAGGAAATAAATCGTATTATTTTCATTATGTTATTAAAACAAGGAGGTATAATAAACAGAATAAAAGTTGCTATTGTTGATTATACAAATTTATATCTGTGATTTGTCACGATTTTCACTTTCCTTCTTTAAT